GTTCAAATTGTATGAATCAAAACTCTAAATTCAACACTCAATTTGAAACTAGTCATTCTTCTAAAGACTTAGATTGTCCAACCTATAAAAAACATGTTACATACTTGAAACCTAAAATTGAATATGAATAGTGATAAATTTAAGGTTTTAAAATTTGGTCATATAAATTGCAGATCAGTTTTATCAGGATTTCATGAATTTAGTACTCTGGTTCGAAACAACAACCTTGATATTGTTGGAATATCGGAAACGTGGCTATCAAAAGATATATGTATCTAATGGCCATATAAGAATGAATGGATACAACTGCTATCGCTGTGATAGAGATGGGCGAGGTGGTGGGGTTGCAGTCTTTGTAAACAGCCACTACAACTCTTCCATAATTTCATTTGGACAAGGCCCAAGTCTTTAATATATATGGTTGAAGGTGCAGCTTCCAAAATAAAAAATTGCTATTGGTATATTCTATCGACATCGAACATAAATAATGTATTCGAGGCGGAAGCACCCTAAACGTGTGAACAATACTCGAGGCTAGGCTTTACCTGGGCCTTGTATAGTGTGAGAAGGTCATGCGGGGAAAATTACTACTTAGGCCTAAACAAATCCCCTAGCTTTTTCCCAGCAGCTGCCGTTATTGACGAGATGTGTTCGTGCCAGATCAAATCTTCGGTGATCTGGACTCCGACCAGCCGAAGTGAACGGCTCTTTGGCAGAACTCGACCATCCATCGTAACGGGATGAACGCTAGGATGCTTTTTGTTCGTCAAAGTACAGTACTGTATTTTGGAAGCATTAAACTGTACAAGATTGTGCGTCCCCAAGCAGTGATAGCCTCTAAGTCTCTCGTCAGCGAGGAAGTCGTCGCTAGTCTTCTTTTTTCCAACACAGCGGCAGAGATCGGCTTGTCGTTCTGAATTCCTGCATGTAGAGTGCTGTCATCAGCAATGGATTGGACAGGAGGTCGTTAATATGTAAGAGAAATAGTGTCGGAGCCAAAGCTGATCCCTGGGGAACACCCGCGTAGACGTTGTGGGATGAAGAGTAGAACCCATAAATTACGACGGCGACAGAGAGAAAGCCAGCCGCCCATCTGCAAAGCTTTTCTGGAAGGCCATACGATGGAAGTTTTCTTAAGAGGGCAGCGTACCACAGCTGATCGATCGCTTTCGTTATATGAAGAGTAACGACATGAACCTCACCATAAGGCTGAATGAGTTTACTCCACAATTGCGTGACATAAGCTAGGAGGTCCCATGTGGATCGCTGGTACCGGAAACTATAATAACTGTCGCTAATCAAGCCGTAACTCTCGAGGTAGTCCAGAAGCTCGCGATTTATGCACCTCTCCGTCACCTTACTCATAACAGAAATCAGAGCTATAGGCCTGGAGATGTAAGGTTCGGTCTTAGATCCTTTTTTTTGGATGATCTGGACATGAGGACATGAGTAACATTGCTTAAAAATTTCTTCTAAATTCGAGCGGTACTTCTCAAGTTGTATGCGGTTATAAGAATAGCAGACAGTCCGACGGATATGGGTGGCATGGTTTTTCGTGATATATATGTACATGTCAAACGTCCAAAAAACATAATATCTCACTTTTAATACTTTTCATGATTGCAGTACTACCTCGCCCATTGGCGGTAAGTAGAGCATCCGAGTCACGGTGTGGTATTTTTACTATTCGGCGACCATGGAAACTTTTACAGTTGGTGATGTTATACAATGAATATAATTGAATTGTTGATTTACAATTTTTGTGAAATAATCGGCACTGACTTATTAAATTTGGATCGGACCCTACGCAGGTAAAGTATACTTGGTGTTCGTGGGTAAGAGTTCTTGCTGGAGTCACAGACACATTATGTGAGATATGTAATACTCGTATAGTGTACCAACAGGTGGGTAACACCATCGAGATCACAAATTTATTAAAAATAAAACGTCTACCTAAGGTACAAGATTTTTACAGCCCCCTAAGGCCCCCAGTAGCCAATTTTCAGCCACACAATGTTTTTTGAAGTTTGAGTAATTTTTCCTTTTAGTTTTCGTGTTTTGTTCTTAGCTCCGCCGCCACTTTATTTTCAAAATCTACGCAACTTCCAGTCATTGGCATAATAGTCCCAAACATGTATCAAGATCTGGCCGGTACTTTTAAAATTATAGCGGGTCCAAGGATTAGCGGACAGACAGACCGACAGACAGACCTACGGAAATGAGTGAGAGTTTTCTGTGATGTACCGTCAAAAACATGCCCAACTAGCAAAGGAGTGGTATAAGCTTTTGGTAAAAGAACCGTTCAGCCATAAAAGCTATCTATTGTTGTTGCCTGAACACAAAAATGCTGGCTTAATGTTGTGTGAAATGCAGATTTGCTTTCTGTAACATATTTGCTCTAAAATGAAGTGACCTTATAGGGCAAATTTTTAACTGTTGCATAAACGTTTATACAACTATTTTATACGGCATATTTGCACGTTAGTCAAAATGGTTGTGTTATGGCATCCATGGTAACGTTTATAAAACAAACCCGAGCCTTGTTGTTCTGCTGTGCAATTTACTACTTTAGCCAACAAATTGCTCCCAACGGAAGCACTTATACAACTGTTGTTTAGTAACTGTTAAAGGTTGTACATATGCTAAATATGTTGGTAAACAACTTCACCATAACCTAACTTTCTGCTGTCATATTCTTGTAAAATGCTAAAATACCATAATCAATGTTTTAAGACAAACAACGCATGCATATTGGTTCAAAAGCTTTTATCAACTGTTCAAACAGAAGATATAGATCTGGTACAAATTCTGGGTAAATCATTCGACTCTGTCGGTATTTCATTTCAGACATTTGTCAAATTGTTGTATAACACCTGCAGGCAAGACCAAAATATTCTAATAACCTAAAGACAACATGGACGATGTCATGATTGTACACAACCACCCACCATATTGGGCAAACATTTATTCCTCTATTTAATATTAAATAATTCTGTTTCAGTTCGAAATTACAGATATAAAGTGATAAACATTAGTGTAATTGTGTCTAAATATAGGATTTGTGGAAGATTTAACGCAGATATGTTCCGTTTTCCATCTTAAAAATCTAGACATAGTTTTGATCATTGTCAAAATATAAATCAAATACGAAGCCCGTAGAAATTGGGTAACTAATTTGCACGATAATCACAATAAAATTTCCTGCGCAAGTAATTCAATAGCCCTATATCACAGTGTAGAAGTTTTTCATATACCTGTGTATGAAATTCACAATGGCCGATATGTAAATAAACAAGATGACTGTAATGTGTTAGTTATATATATTCTTCACTTCGTCTATACAATACATAAGAAATAGTTTGGTTGCAATAAAGTAGAATCACGTAACAGAATAGTTGTATAGTTGACAGAAACTGAATCCTGCACTGACGCAAATGTCCTATAGCGGCTGCAAGAGGCTTACACTTTTGTTTTATAACTGTTACCTGCAGCCCTTATTTAACCTCTTAAATGACTGAAGTGTCCTATTAGGTGTGCCCATTCCTCTTGTATAGCTGTTCTAAGAGGGTTTTGCCAATGTTCTTACAGTATACAATGCTGTTTAAGGGATACTGTATAATCATTCTTGCAACTCTAATAGGAGTAATAATTGTTAGTTGGGATGGTATATACGTATTTTGTATAGTGTGCATTGATACTAGCGCAAACAGATAAGAGAGCAAACGAACCAAATCTTGAAGATGATGAAGGATGATGAAGGGCGTGCATACATCTCCATTCCAAAACGTCAATATCAATTTGGGTCGTTCGACAGGCCTAACATCTATAAGTCGCAAACGTTGTCCTATTTGCAATACAATCATTTGTTGCTCAAAAGTGGGTTGAGTGACAAGTGTTGTGAAAGCTTTAAGAAATTGGTGTTTTTTCAGATTTTGATGTGCCCTTTCCGTTATTTTGCTACCTCGTTTTTTTCGCTCGACGCGCAATATCGGAAATATGGCGACCAACATTTTTGGCCAAAATCTTATTTTTAACTCTCTTTACGATTAAGGTAGTTATGGGATGATTTAACTAGAGGGAATTTCCTACGATTTATGCATTTTCCTTTATGATAGTTTCATCAGGAACGTGCTCTTTCTTCATTTTTACCAGCTCGTATCTATACCGTTCGTGATATCATATTGAGCAAATGCGCTCAAAAACGTGATAGAATATGCGTTGCTGCGGACTCTGGATCTAATATTAATATTGTGAACGTAAGAAGGTCTGTTTTGCGTAACTTATTCTCTTAGGCCCGTATCGTCAGTCGTCCCTACAATTTTAGGGCGCCTTTATGGCCTCCTTGATTGTCATGGTTTTCTACTTCTCCGTGTCAGCGCTCTATTTTGAGGTTATGTCACAAACATCTATTTGCATCAAATTGTGCCTGCTTTTCAGTTATATCATGTTTTATCAGCCTGAAATTTCCTACAATTTAAAAAGAAAACATATCTTCACAATAGGAGAGCGCTGACGCTGACACGGGACAAGTGTAATCTAGACATTTTTGAAGGAGAGAAAGGAGTATGACAATCAAGGAGGCCATAAACGCGCCCTACAATTGTAGGGACGACTGACGATACGGGCCTTAATACTGAACTTTTGAAACTGTTTGTGATATTGATCCATTTAGTTTCTTTTTTGATCAAATTTTCTGATACCATGAATAAATCTAATAGGGGAGTTTTGTCCAATTTGAATCCTTCTTCTAGGACTTCTTAGACTTTCTGCATTTTGAGTCGAATATTAACCCAACGTTTTTTCCCTCTTCTAACGGTTTAATTGGACCGTCGTCGATTGTGACACTGAAATTATTATTTATTGTTCCAAATAACAACAAATAGCGGTGAGAGTGGAATAGATACAAGATAGCAACGCAAACATTCGAAAATCCAAAACTTCCAGGAAAAGTTTCCAGATAAACTTTACGTAACTGGATTTTTCGCTTCAATAAAACTTACCTGTTTCATTGGTATCGATGTAAAAATGATTGCTTCCACACGAATTGATGAATTCTCCAGTTCTATCTAAATCTTGTTCTTCCAGACTTCTGGAATCGTAAAGATCTGCCGGCACCACTAATAGATAATCTAACAGTACGCTCTTGTTTTCAGGTTGCTAGAACAAAGATATACAAAACATAAAATATATAATTATTTATTCACCATTACATAAAAAATATCACACACTGTAAAAAATGTAACATTAGATGAATAAATAAATTAACCACAAAAGGCAAAGCCTTGAGCGTGGAACAAGAAAATCAGTATAATTTCCTTTGTGGAATACCCCATAGGGGTAACAGAATAGATAATAAAATAATTTTATGCACTTTTCTATATAATTTACCAGCATTCAACAGCAGAAAAAGAATGTCTGGGTCGAAATACGGTTTAAGCATGTCATTTTTCTAGGTGTGGATAGCTTGTTATATTCACTACAGGTAACGTTTCCACTTTTAATTTTCTCTTACATAAACTGAAAATTTAAAGTTTTCTCATGTTTATAGTAACATTTTGGAGCTAAAAAAAACTCTGACATCTGGTAAATATATTTGGTATTGGCACTATTTTGGATGTCTTAATATGTAATAGGTTTACCTTTACAAATCATAAGTATAATTTAATAGAAATACAATGGATGTAAATCCAAAAAATCTGTTATGTTGAGCAGCTGAGCTGTTGGATACGTTATGGCTATACAGGGTGTAAACGTTATGATAGTCAATATTTAAATGGGTGATAGACGGGGTTAAAAGAAGCAAAAAGTTTCATATAACATGGGGTCAAAAAAGCTTTTTTTTAGAGAAAAACGACTTTAAAGTAAAATAAAATCTGACAACGCCGCAATGCTAGACGCAAATTACGATGGAACGCAGTGTAAAGAAAGATAGGGTTTGTTATTTTTGGCATTTAGGTATTATTTCATTATTTATAATAATAATAATAATAATAATAACCGTCTTTATTATTGACATAAGACATTGACAAAATGGTAAGTGAACATAAGTACATCCAGTGTCAATAAAAGGCGAAGTTCAGTTTGATTAGTACACAGTACCAACAACCTGCTCTTCCACTTAGCCCAGTATCCTCTACGACATATGACATCCGATAAACCGATAATACATACATGTCACTATAAAAGAGGGACATACCTACACGCTAACAAAAAAAAAAACAATCATTCATTCATTCATGCGGTGCTACTGTTTTTTCAGCAGTTCCTTTTTAAACATGGCTTTGAAGTTATCTATTCTAGAAAATTTTAGTTCCTTCCGGACTGAGTTGTAGACTTTATATATTTGGTATGTGAAGCTCCGTTTGAAGATTGACGTTCTAAACTTGGGTGGCGAAATAAGACCCTTACTTCTTACGTTAATGTTATGAACGTCAGTCCGGTAGGTTATTTTTTGATAAAGATATTGTGGTGTTCTGACTAAAATTAATTTATGATAAAAAACAGCAGAGTGGAGGAGCCTACGATTTTCCATATTTAACCAACCTGCATCTTTCAATTTGTGAGATATTCTATGTCTCCTCTGTATACCAAATGCAAGGCGCAAGCATGAGTTTTGAACCAGTTGAACTTTACGTCGATACAGGTTAGTTAAGTGTGGGCCGTAAAGCACATCAGCGTAGTTGAATAAAGATAATACTAAAGTATCACATAGCATGATCTTAAGTTTTAACGAGAGAAATTTCCGGCTACCGTAAATAAATTTCAACGACAAATATGCTCTCTGCATAATTTTGTTGATGTGATACTCAAATCGAAGATTACTATCAATCACAACACCTAAATTTTTTACATTGTCCATTATTTTGAGAGTTACACCATTTATCTCAATTTTAATAAGATTCTCTATAACATTTTTATTTTGTGTAGGTCCAAAAACAATTACGTGAGACTTTGATGGATTTATTAAAAGACAGTGGCGTGTGGCACATTCTACAAAGGAGTTTAGCTCATTATTAATGTTCAACGAGAAACGATCCATCAATTGTGGGGGGAAGCTATTTGATAATGTAGTAGTAAAATGCAAACAATTAAAAAAAACGGACTTACCACTAACTGTCTCAGCACTTTACCTGGTATGTGAAAGTTTATTGAATGTATTAAAAAAAACCACTTATAAATAGGGAACAGAATTTTGATATATACATTGTTTCTCTTTTTAAAACCCACACTGCACTTTTTTTTGTATTTAAAGAAGGTGTTCAAAATATCGTCCTTCACTTTCCACACAAGCTTCATTACGACGAGCCCAGTTTCTTCTTACTCTAGGTCCTCGAAGTTGTCCATTTATTATTTCAGTTGTGCTTCAGTTGTTATTAGACCAGCCCCATAGACCATCCCTTTAAGTTCTCCCCAACACCAGAAATCCATCGGATTGAGGTCAGGAGATCTTGCTGGCCATTTTCGAGGATCAGGAGCATTTCGACCGATCCAGCGATTTGGATAATGTTCATTCAAATACTGACGCCTCTAAAAATGTGTGTTGGTGCCCCGTCCTGAAGAAACCACAAATTCTGTCTCCGTTGTCATGGCATGTTGTCTAAGGTCTGTTCCAAAAGTTCTGGTAGGTTATTGGCTAGAAAGCTAAGGTATACTTCTCCTGACAGCTTTGGGGGTAACTCTAAAGGGCCAATTACCTGATCGTCAAGAATACCCGCCCAAATATTCATTTATATTTATTTTAAAACGTTGTTGGAAATGACCTTCACGAATGGTATGAGGATTTTCTTGGGCCCACGTGTCAGTATTATGGAAATTTAATATCCAGCCTCGCGTAAAAGTACATTCGTCCGTCGCTAGAATGTTTTTAAAGAAATCCGGATTTTCAATGTTTTTGTGCAAAAACCACTGACAGAATGTTAGTCTGCGAGGATAGTCTTCTGGTAACAAGGCCTGCACTCGTTGTAAATGGTAGGGATAAAGCAAATTTTCCCGTAGGATTCTATGGTATGCGATAGTCCTACGCGTCGGCCTAATTCCCGAGTGCTGATATCGGCATTGATTTCCACGATATAATTTGTTCCTCTTGCTCTACAGTAACCTGTCTTTGACGAGTGCGAATATTAGTGGGCTGAACACTTCCTGTATCTCGAAGTCTTTGATACACTTGCACAAATGCCTTCTGTCTGGGTGTACCCGTTGGCGAAATCTGTCGCGATAAAATTTGAGCTGCAAGATTTGAATTCCAAGGAGCTTCACCGTAAACCAAAAACATGTCGGCGAACTCTTGATTCGAGAGCACATCACGCCCGATGCCCGATAACTAACCACTCAACGTTGATTGCCGATTCGATAAGAGTGATGATGACCGACGCGCTGTTGTCACGTGTGTTTTAAATATTCAATTTAATGAAACTTACTTACTGACTACAAATTTTGGCCTAACTTAGAAAGACTTAATGCCATTTATTTGTTAATTACCCAATTTAAAAACGTTTTAGATTAGATTATAAAAATTAGTAGCATTGTGGTGATTGTGGTCGATATAAAGCACTTAAGGTTGTAAACTATAAAGCCATTTAGACAAAAATCTATTGACTTTTGGACCATGGGTCATATGAACTTTTTGACTTGTTTTGACTCCCCCTATTACCCATTTCAATAATGACTACCATAACGTTTACACCCTGTATAATCGTCTTATTTGAAGTTTTATCTTGACGCAACTAATATGATACTTACCTTCACTGTCATTATGAAGTTTTCTGTAAGTGAAAACTTATCATTTCTGTTTCCTTCCGTCACAACCGCTCTACAGCCTGAATCAGAAGGACAATGTTGTACTGGAACCTTCGCCTCGTAGTATTGTCCATTCTGGACGAGCACGTCCAAATCAAATGCTGAAAATGTATTTATTGAAGTCATATACATCTTACTGAGCATTAGTCCTAGAAACTACGAGATCTGTAAATTAGGTGATGAGACTGACAACGTAGCTTTCGATCTGGCAACACTGGTCTTGGAAGGGAGTCATGCTCATGTCATTCGCCTTTTTTCCTACTGTGTTCTAGAAATGAGTGACATCAATTTGGAGCAACGGAGTGCTATCAGGATTTGCTTCAGTCTTGGGCACAGCGCAACGGAAATTCTTGCTAAGCTTCAGCAGGCCTGCGGAGTGTGTTTTGTCAAGAGTCCAGGTTTTTCGGAGGTTTATATTATTTTCAGGAGGGAGAGAGCCGGTTGAAGATGAACCCCGAAGCAGAAGGCCTTCATCTTCAAGAACCGATGAAAATATCGACAGTCGTTGGTTGACAGTCAGAATGATCGTGGAAGAGTTAAATTTGACTCACACCACCGTTCATCAGGTCAACGGCAACTGAGTGCGCATCACAATAGTGCTCCTTGTCACAAAATGTCAATAAACGAGTTTTTGGCCAGTAAAAGCATGCATGCGGCTTCTCAGCCTCCTTATTCGCCTGACTTGAGTCCTTGTGACTTTTTTCTCTTCCCGAAGTTGAAAAATAAACTCAAGGTCCAGCAATACTATGAGGAGTGGAAGAACCGGAGCGCTGAGTGGCTTCAGAAGGAGGCTATTTTGAGGGTGACAATATGAAATTGTAATTATATTTAAATTAAAGACTTAAAAAACCAGTCCCATCACTTAATTTACAGACCTCGTAAATGTTGATGGAAAGTTCAAGTTCAACTTTAGAATCGAAGGATAATTCAAAGAAATAAAGAGGTACTTCTTTAGATGCTTCATTTTTCAGCGAAATAAATTCCAGTATAAATATAAACTACCAAATTTGAAAATTTATATATCTTTTCTAATAAATTTACAAAAAAATTTGTATGTTTCCGCAAAAACTGAAACTTCTTCATCTTAAAGTTAAATAAACTAAAAAAAACCCTTACCAGGATAATGAGGTTGACGATAGTGCAGTATGAAGGTGTAGTACCCCGGAGTAGGTACCTTTCCTTTTAGATCTACAGTATTCTCGGTAGCGTTGAGCAATACATAAGTAGTTTCATTGTCGATGAACAGCGCCGGTTGGTTTTTAGCCAATTCACCTTCTAATTTATCTTCGAATTGGATCTTTTTCGTTTCTGGGGGGTTGTGGAAAGTAGAGGGGATGCAAGTGCCGTTTTTGCGGACGCAGACTGGTTTGGGCCTGATTTGGTCCATGGACCACTCTTCGTAGGGAATTGCATAGACTGAATGCACCCCAACATTGGTGTTTACACCCTAAAATAGAAAAAAAACAGTCGGAAAATGCTAAAAATATACAGGGTGTCCCAGAAGTCGACGTCAAGCCGAAACCGGGTGATAGGCAAAGTCATAACAGCTATCAGAAAAATATTTAAAAAAAATTTATGTATGTGTTTTGAAAATTATAGGTCTTTGAAAAAAATATAGAAATTTCACACCCTACGGCAGTCTGTCAACTCCTGTTACTACAAATATTAACTTTTTTTGGATTTTATTTTTACAATGTAATGATGAATAATGCATCTTCAAACTGGTGTCTCAACCTTACTGCCAACTTTTCTCGTTCAGGAAAAATTGCCACTTATTTCCCAACCAAGTACTCCAAAGTAAAACTTTTCTCAACTTTAACTAAAACTAAAAGTACTTCGAGAGTTTGGCAAGTAAAATTTCCTAATTAAACAGCGATTATGAAAACGCACAACAGTGGGCATCAAAATGCTGCTGATGATGACTTACCTTTACAGCAAATGCTCAAACTGTTTTCCTTCAGCCGCAATACACGCTCGACATCTTCTTAAAAAAGATCGGGTTATTAAACGAGCGAATCCACGGTTATTAACAAACTCAGCTGCTTCCAATCGTCTTTGCCGTAGCTCAGCTACATTTTGAATCGGCGTGAAATACACTTTTTCTTTTACAGTTCCCCAGTAAAAAAAATCTAACGGATTCAAATCTGGTGACCGGGCTGGCCACGGTATTGTACCAGACCGCCCTATCCATCTGCCTGGAAAGTTTTGATCGAGATACTCTCTCACTGAGAGTGCATAGTGCGCTGGGCAGCCATCATGCTGAAACCACATGTCCCTGTAAATACTCAGTGGCACGTCCTCCAATAAATTTTCTAAATGATTTTGCAAAAAACCTAAATAAACCTCAGCAGTCAAAGTCTCTGGGAACTCAAACGGACCGATTATTTTACCATTTAAAATTCCTGTCCAATGGTTTATCTTGAAGCAATATTGAGATTTATCTTCTCTCATCAAATGTGTTTTTGCTACGTGCCACTCGTGTAAGTTATGCAGGTTCATGTACCCATCTTTCTTAAATGTGGTCTCATCTGACCATAACATTTTTTCAAAGAACCGTGGATCTTCCCTATGTCTTTCTAACATTGTATGACAAAAAGCAACTCGGGGCTCATAATCCCGGGGCAGAAGAGCTTGAACACGCTGTACGTGGTATGGATGGAGCACGTTTTTTTGCAAGATTCTATGGGCTGTACTTTTGGGCACACCTGTTTTTAGTTCTGTTGCACGCACTGAAGTACTCGGGTCTTCTTCGACAGCTCCTAGCACCACGTCTTCGTAAGGAAGGAAAGATCTTCCCTCACCGTGTGATTGGTTTGGTAGTTGGCCCTCTGAGAACAGTAAGCGGTGCACATTTGTGAACACTCGATGATCTGGATGACGAGCTGCATTCGGGTACCTCTCACAGTAAAGTCTCGCTGCAGCACTAGCGTTGCATCTGCATTCCCCATAAATGAGGTGCATGTTAGCATATTCTTGTACGGTGTACACGGACATAGCGTCACTGCACAATCACACTATTAAAGATAGTCTAAGGAAAGCAAATGTTGTTTTGAAGAGCAATTAAATAGTCCAAATCCAAATCACAAGCGATCAACAGTCCAGTTCACGAATCCAAAATTAGTAACAGTACGAAATCAACAAGCACGAATATGTAAAGATGCGCAGTAAACGAAGGAGTACTGATCGGTATCAAAGTGTGCAATAGCAAGTAAGTGATGTGCTTCATCCATACCACATACAGCGTGTTCAACCTCTCCTGCCCCGGGATTATGAGCTCCGAGTTGCTTTTTGTCGGACAATGTTAGAAAGACACAGGAAAGATCTACAGTTCTTTGAAAAAATGTTATGGTCGGATGAGACCACATTTAAGAAAGATGGGTACATGAACCTGCATAACTTACACGAGTGGCACGTAGCAAACCCACATTTGATGAGAGAAGATAAATCTCAATATCGCTTCAAGATAAACCATTGGACAGGAATTTTAAATGGTAAAATAATCGGTCCGTTTGAGTTCCCAGATACTTTGACTGCTGAGGTTTATTTAGGTTTTTTGCAAAATCATTTAGAAAATTTATTGGAGGACGTGCCACTGAGTATTTATAGGGACATGTGGTTTCAGCATGTTGGCTGCCCAGCGCACTATGCACTCTCAGTGAGAGAGTATCTCGATCAAAACTTTCCAGGCAGATGGATAGGACGGTCTGGTACAATACTGTGGCCAGCCCGGTCACCAGATTTGAATCAGTTAGATTTTTTTTACTGGGGAACTGTAAAAGAAAAAGTGTATTTTAAGCCGATTCAAAATGTAGCTGCTCTACGGCAAAGACTATTGGAAGCAGCTGAGTTTGTTAATAACCGTGGATTCGCTCGTTATTGTTAGTTGTTAGTGTTATACCATTTTGGAATCGTTATTAAATGCGCCAACTTTTAAGGTTTCTTGCCAAACTCTCGTAGTACATTTTTTTCCAGTACAGCCAGTTAAAGTTGAGCAAAGTTTTACTTTGGAATACTTGGTTGGGAAATAAGTGGCAATTTTTCCTGGACGAGAAAAGTTGGCAGTAAGGTTGAGACACCAGTTTGAAGATGCATTATTCATCATTACATTGTAAAAATAAAATCCAAAAAAAGTTAATATTTGTAGTAACAGGAGTTGACAGACTGCCGTAGGGTGTGAAATTTCTATATCTTTTTCAAAGACCTATAATTTTCAAAACACATACATAAATTTTTTTTAAATATTTTTCTGATAGCTGTTATGACTTTGCCTATCACCCGGTTTCGGCTTGACGTCGACTTCTGGGACACCCTGTATGTGTTAATGTTACTGCTTCTGTCTGTCCGACCAACAGAGGACCGACCATGTATAGCTGTTTCATGCTTATTGACAATCATCCAGACGGTCTAAGCTTGGCCTCTATCTGAGGTATAGTTGTAGTCACCGTTCTTGGCGGTTACGTCATCGACGCCTTATGAAATAAGTAAACAGATCGGTCTCCGTACCATGGGCGAAACGCTGCGCCGATTAATCTTCAGCGCATCTGCTACTCTCTCCAGTACGCATGAAGTGGGTAAAAGGGGAGCGCTGTTTTCATTCTCTTCCTGGAAATACTCTAATAAATTTAGCACGAGCTGTCGGGAGCTGTCGGCCTTCTCCATTAATCGTATTTCCGGGCATTGTACAATTTTATATTGAAGATTGATATCAGGACAACTCGAATTGCATGCCGATGTCAAGTAAGTTGTCACTCTGATTGAAGGATACCGGGGAATAACGACAATAGTCCATCCGGACTGATTTTGAGAGAATCGGTAATTAAGGTTTACTTACTTGTTGGAAAGTAAAATTGACGAAAAAATAAGTCGTAATGAATATCTTTGCTAAACAGTGTGCTTGTTGGTAAAATAGATTTTACAAAATGAACTTTTACTCAAAACTAGTAACGTAATAAACAAAAGATGATGTTCAACTCTGGACTCGTGCCACTTTTCCCCTGCTGCGTCTATTGGCGGGTCATTGACATATTCATCACTGCTGTCTTCTGGATGATCAAGAGACATTAACTGTTGATAAAATGCCCTGGAGTCTGCTCTATCTAGAAATTTGGTTAGATCCTGCAGATCGTTCCATTTCTTACTTTTAATTGGGATTGGGCACTGGTAAAGTTTTCTCAATGTTTCCTGTTCTCGTTTTTGTTCATCTTTTTGCGTCTTTTTTTTATTCTTCCGAATTACCTTCTTAAATTTAGAACTAGCATATAGGCCCAAGTATGTCGATTTGTGAAAAACTACGCGAGGATTCTGTTTACAAAACTTGAGCATCCTGACTGGTCGGGTTGGAAAGGGGCACTTCGTTGGATAAAACGGCGATAAAAACGTACTCCAATCTTGAAAATCAAAATTTTTTCCACAATCAATGACTTCAAATGGTGTAGGTTTCACACTCGATGTATGAATTGCCCCTGATCGGGAATATTATTTTCACAGTAGTAAAACGATTTTTCTTGCTAACCAAGTAATGCAAAAACCGAATAACTGTAAAGTTTTTACTTTGCTTGCACAGGCGTCACTTTAAATGACAAGTTCTTTTACTTCCATAGACAGGATGTTATAAAAAATTTGAGTTTAACAGAATGTGGATGTTAAAAATGATGAAATTTAGTTGCCGTTTATAACGGGTGATTTTTTAAGAGGTATAGGATTTGTTAAAAAAAAAACACAAAAAATTTGAAAAAACGATTAAATCTTTGAGTCGATAGAACGGTCGATATAATTTAATGTTTAAAAATTATTTCATGTAAATGTTGGCCGCGGCTCCGCTTTAGATGGCACATACGCAAGGTCCAATTTTGGCACACTCTCTCCGACATATCGGCCGGTATCTCACGAATAAATGCTTCAATATTGGCTTCCAGTGCGTCAATCGTTGCTGGTTTATCTCTGTAGATATTAGCCTCAACATGGCCCCACAAGAAATAGTCCAACGGCGTTAAATCACACGATCTAGGCGGCCAATTGACGGGCCCCAAACGTGAGATAAACTGTTCACCGAACTCGCCTCTCAATAGGGCCTTTGTTTCGTGTGCGGTGTGGCATGTGGCACCGTCTTGTTGAAACCACATGTCATCCAAGTCCAGCTCTTCCATTTTGGGCAAAAAAAAGTTTGTTATCATCGCACGGTAGCGCTCGCCATTCACAGTTATGTTCCGGCCATTGTCGTCTTTGAAGAAGTACGGCCCGATGATGCCCCCGCCCATAATCCACACCAAACAGTGATTTTTTCGGGATGCATTGGTAGCTCTTGCAATGCTTCAGGCTGGTCTTCACTCCAGATGCGGCAATTTTGCTTGTTAACGTACCCCTTCAACCAGAAATGAGCTTCGTCGCTGAACACAATTTTTCGATAAAAATGTGGATCTTCCTCCAATTTTGCCAGCGCCCATTCACCAAATTGGAAACGTTGTGGGAGGTCGTGTGGCTTCAATTCTTGCACCAGCTGTATCTTATAAGATTTTACACCCAAATCCACGTAGTGAAGTAATAGAGGCCCAATTGCTGCGAACGGCATCGAATCGACATTTCACGGTCATCACTAACACTGGCGGATTCAGCCGCAATATTTTCTTCAGTCCTCACTCTACGTGTGCGTGTTGGTAGTTTAATGTCCAATAATGTAAACTGGGTACGAAATTCACTCACAAGCTTCTGAATAGATCCCTCAGTAGGCCGACCAAATTGCCCATAAATTGGAAGCAGTGCTCGATGCACTCTCTTAACCGAGCATGAATTTTGATAGTAAAATTCAATAATTTGCAAGCTTTGTTCGTTCGTAAGTCGATTCATGGTTAAATTATAGACCAAACTGAACAACAAGTTTGACAATGACACAAGACTCGATTCACGCGTCATCTGTCAAAAACAGTGTTGCCAAAAAGATACTAGCAAAAAAATCGTCGTGTCGTGACATTTGGATAGGGCAAGTTTCTTTGGTAATCCATCGTGATACTTTCGATAGCGGGAAACTTCAGGCACGTTTGCGGTATGTTCTCGTTAGACTATAAAATCGCTCACTCCTTTTTTGATGTAGTGTCTTCTCAAGTGTCTTTTTCTCCAAATTATTACTTGTTGACTGTCTAGTTTGTTCCGTGTGGGAATTTAAGGTAGCGGTAAGTGAAGATATATCAGCTTTTAAGGAATTATACGTACTACAAGTATATTTTCGTAGATAACCGAACGATATATTTAAGTTGTTTTCATTTCTCGGAAGGATTCATAGGAAATCTTGTTTGCAGCTTTGCTAATAGAATACATTTTGTGTAATTTTGCGATATTTAGATTTTCAGGTAGGTAAACTTTTTGCGAATCTGCCAAAGAATAATGAGATTTGCGGCATTTGAGGCTCTAAACTCGGTCACTTTCTGTTTTATGTTTTCTGGAAGTTTGTGAAGTTGTGTGTTGTGTTTTCCACGCATGTCGATGGGAGATTTCCCAGTTTCAACTAATGAGTCTCTTATGTACCGATCTCGACAAAGTGTAATTCCGTGTAAAGACAAAAAATCCTTAAAACAAACTGGAACATCACGTACAATTTCATGTTCAACCAATGGGACACGATAACTAAATGAAGCATTATTAAGCCTTGACTCTGCTTCATTTTCTTGAGGGCATCTACGCATGACAGGAAGAACAGTGATAAGACCACTAAGATAAGCGTTTTGTGCATTAGTGTTTCCCAATTCGTTGAATTCACAAAGAAGTCTACAGAGTTCAGTTTCAGGAACAGTAGTAAAACAGCGAAAACGTTCACAAAAACAATCAGATCCAAGTTCGTGGGTAGTGGCGCGCAACGCCATTCTTCCCTGGCACAGGGAATCTTATAGCTGTTGTTCTGTGAACCGAGGCACTTTTTACAATTTAAGAACCTGTTTACAAGATAGCATCAGGAAAATGCCACCAAAATAAGCTGAAAGCTCTATTTAGCCAAATAATGGACTAATGCCGTTTTCCCCAGTACCCTTCAAATATGATTGAAGGTCACTAATACGTAACTATATCGCCAGATTCGACGGCATCAAGCGGTCAAAGTGGTGACTCGGCCTGTCGACTTGAACTGAGATACTTTACAGTTTCAATAAATATCTGCTGGTCACTCTCGCGGTGATCGATTCTGGTTATAGATGGCAGTTTGGAGCCTTGGGGTTACCTGTTCCCTAGTTGAGGAGACATTCACTGTTGGGGTTTGAAATGATTTTAAAGTTATGGAGTTCGACTGTGTTCTTCTCATAATTATTGTTTCCTGCATGAAGAAAGCTCGTAGACATTTTAAAGAACTAGTGACACGTACACGTCTTAAGATAAGCGGATATTAGGTTCCAAAAAATTATGGTTATTAAATACGTGCTTCCAGCAAATGATTAGAGAAAACATTCGATGTGAGATAGTGTCTAAATCATACGCAGCATGCCATGTAAGTAAACTGATTTGTTTGTTTATAGAATAGAAAAATGCTGAGTTCCTATAGCAACAACGAGGTTGTTCACATGATGTTAGTTCACAGCCAGTGTTTTCAAAATGCTGGTGATGCTTCGCGAATGCATTCAGATCGTTTTTTTTTTCGAGATGGGCACAGTAAAAGATGTCGACAGGACCGAAACCTGTTATTGAATCGAACGTCTAGTAATCTGATGTTGAATCCAGAAACAAATAATAACGAAGCGTTATGCGGTTATTTGACATCAAATGTACTTTTACATTATTTTTTGACAATAGGATGGAAAAAGGCGTATCTCGCTTTTATATGAAAACTTGAAATTAAGGAGCTTCGTTATCGTTTAAATATTTTCAATCGAATACATTTTTTATTTTATTTATTCCATTATTCTTTTAGAACTTGTAAAGAAATTTCAGAAGGATAGTTATTGGAGATATAGACAACTGTAACTGGTTTCCACGGATAAAACAAAAACTTGTTCATCCAATAAAACGGAAATTTCAATCAAACACCTAAATGAATCAATTTTATGGGATAAACAAATCTAATATCTTGCGATTTTAAAAAAATATTTTCTGCTATCAAAACACATGGTGGACGAACAACCTACATGTGACGAAAGCTACGTGTGCGCTGTACTACTGCATGGAAGATACCTATATAAGCTACTATTTACACTTGGTGATAATGGAATGAGAGAGATTATTGAACTAACGAGACCAATCATCGACTTCAGGGAAAATATTCAATTGGGGACGCTTTCCTCTATCATTGTTTTGTTTTTTACTTACGTTCATCACTAGAAGAATATTATTTCCATCTACAGTATAAACCCCTACACCATTGAAGGTATCTGCAACAACCTGTCTGCACATTGTGCTATACGGGCAAGCGTAGAATTTGAGCTGACCCAATTCTTCACCATTTCTTGTTTGCGTCCTAACCGAGATGTTATGGGTCCTCAGGTCGTCAAGAGGTGTAACGTAGTTGACGACTAGCACGTAGGGTCCAGGTTTGGGTACTGTTATGTTAAAGGTGATCTCAGGTTGAAGTGGGTTCAGAAGTGGGACTCGATTGTAGGCTTGGATCTTTTGTAGATGCTGAAATGGAAAATGTCAGTTTAGGTCATGAGAATTAAGTTTACGATTCCATACCATTTATTGACCACCTTGTGTATATACAACGTACAAAAATAAGCGATCGAAGTTGCACAAAGCTCTTTCATCTTCTGGGCTCCCAAAATACTGAACTGCGACGTTGTATTAGCGCCGAAGACAGTCTACATACATGCTTCAACTGGATAGATACACCAACACACATGCCGGTATACATTAGGATTTTTTTTATGATTTACTGCCTGGAGGCTACCAAGAATCCAAATAAAGGGAAGAAGGGTTACAGGCGGATGGTTCATCTGAATGGGTTCCCTACTTTTAATTTTATTGATTTCAATGTGTAGTTTGACATGTCATAGAGTAATTGTGTTTATATGATAAATAGCATTTTCTGGAAAATAGGCTTGAAAAATAGAGTGCTTTAGAGATCCACTCATTGGCGATAACCCACCTGTCGTTCTGTTTTCCTTGACATTGTGCAATATAAGCAACTGCTATACTGATTCTCACAGAGGCAGGAATGGATAATTGTTCGGTCACAAGTTTGAAAAGAAAGCAGATTCTTCAAACTGTGTGCTTACATCCTAAAAGCTTTTTCAGTGCAGATGAAAACAATCACTTTTCGTATTTATTTTTCAGTGAACATGACTAATGTAGACAGAAGAGTATACAATTAAATAAAGAAATTGAACAAGTTTGTCATTACTCATTGACGTAGAATGTAAAACTAAATAACAAATTTGTATCGTATTTTCTTCTTTTTGGTACTACCCACGCATGAATCACAAAAATGTAGTTGCTCAATAAAAAGAGTTCCAGCACGGTGTAACTTAAAACTAACAACTTTTTAGGAAAGCAAAAAGAGCGGTGGGCCTTTGGAGTCGCTATCGAATGATCTTATAATCCTCCATGTTTGTCTAGTTGCAAATGAAACCTCATAAGCTAATAGTGCCTACTGATGACATTCCGGCAATCACGGTGGCTTTTTCAGGCGAATACATAAGTTATTTTTTGCGTTTCGTGGTGTTACAACTTAACCGACGATGTCTCAAATTCCAAATATGTTAGAATAACAATAGTCGCCTGTTCATCATTAGCGGAGCATCGAAATATTAGCACCCCACTTCCCGCTAGTTTCGCGACACGTAAAACAATACAGTGTTCTGCGATTCTACGATTTTGGATACCACAATGTAATTTCAGACACCTAGCCGAAAACTGTTTTAACGATGGAGTGACGCTACTCCTCTACAGTCCATATCAACTTCCCACTACCTAAATGCTTATTGTATCACCTTTGGCGCTAATGCGACGTTGCAATTCGGTATATTTGGAGGGCAGAAGATGAAGGAGGTATGTGCAACTTCGATGGCTTATTTTTGTACATGTGAGGCCTTACAAACTATTTTATTATCCGTCATACCATCATCGTAATCATCAACTGAATAAGCAGTTTGTTTTAACAAACAATTAGACATATTTTCGAAACTTTATTTGCATTGACGAATAAAATAACGTTAGGTCTATTATTTTTAGTAATATTCGCGAGTATGAATTCCTTATTTAATCAACATTATGAAGTGCATGAGTGTGTATTTCTGCAAATTGTGATATTTATTGAGATTTCTGTGCACATAAAGGTCGACAAAAAAGTGAGTTGATGGAAGTGGTAATATTTGCACATTTTTGGAATGATTTCTGTAGGTTGATCCACGGTACTCCGTTTTCAAATTATGGTTAACCAATTAGCAAGTATTATAATAATAATCAAACTATTGATATGGCAACGTTGTTTCCACTTCTGAACTTGCATGTTCTGTGCGTTTTATGACGCATGACGTTTGCATCCGTGACAAGGGTTAACTATCTGAATGATCGATTTCACTAAATTGAAGAGTTTTACTTACTTCTTGACTGGGAAACCATTCCTTCAGCTGAATCTGATCGTTGTTGGGTCCCTGGATAAAACCACCTACTCCCCAAGCTCTTGAGTAACCTGTTATGGTCGGATAGGCATAATGACGACATAGGTCCAATTCGTCTACTTTACATGGCTTTTCCACTTTCTGGTTCAGTATGGTTGCTAGGTAGAAGTCTTCTGGCAGCAGAACAAAATAATCCTGAAATAAGAAATATTATAAGCCGTTTGAGAATATTTGCGTTTTGCCTGTTCAAAAATTATCTGGAACTGATCCGATCAACGGCAGAGCCATAGCGCTGTTATGTGTTATCAACGAAATCATCCGTACTTTGATATGGATGAAAATATCTAAAATCCGTAAAATAAAAAATGGCATCGATTAGGTTGACCCTGCAATTCCCACGCAACACTATCATCTGTTCATAAACGAATATTTTCGGCATAAGTAGCCAAATGTTAGCTACGAATGTGCATAACAAAAAAAAATGGATCGAGTCAGTGAAACAGGCACATACAATAAGTACCTAATTCCCATATCCTATGTCAACGTTGCAAACTAGAAATGTCGGCCCTACACTATCGACAGTGCCGATCATATGGCAATGCCCGTAGCTCATCCGCTACTGGATCGATTATGAAAAACTACGAAGCTTTTTCGACCTTGGCATAGCAGTAACCGTGTGTCAAATTATTCATCGAAATCTAAGCAATACTTTATAAGTTACAGAGGGGCAAAGGATTAGCGGATGGACACTACGACGGAAATGAAATATATGTCATGTAACATCCAATAAACGTATTAATATCTCATTTTAAAAATACTTCGCAGTTATAATACTTCCTCACCCATTGGTTTGAGAAGCAAAAATAATGAAACAAGACTTTAGTTGTTCACTATCCATACAACCGTAACGGCATAAAAATAGTTATTTGCTATATAAGGGGAAAAAGCACTAGCTAAAATCTAGTATTTCTCCCGTGTATTACACACAGTTTTTTTCTGTGACGGGAAAAAAGACGATTTAATATTGTAAAATTATATTATTACAATATTTAAGTCAGAAAATTATCGATGTGAAATTTGAATTTTGAAATTAGTAGGCTATGTTTTACTTATTGCGACAATTAGACCTGCGTTGCTAAGGAATCTTTTTAAGTAATCAAATAGCTGTCAATTTAATTTTGTGATTTGATTTAAAAATTGCGAAATTAGTGGTCGTTTAGATTTTTAATGCTATAAAGTAAAAAATGTGTGATTCCGAGTTTTCTTTGACTTAACCGGAATTAGTAGAAGTAGCCAAAGTAGCGTCACAAAAATAATTGCCAGCTAAATCACTTATACAATATCTGGGAAAAAGTACTCATTTTTTTCCCGGGGAAAAAGTAATTACATAAAAAGTGACATTTTGTTATCTGTCAACAGAGATAAAATGTCAAACTTTTTTACTTGTGTAATAACTATTTTTGTACTTTTTATGATAGAAGGCATGGTAATAAAACAATAATATTGGAGGAAATTATTAAGCATATATTTGGGTAACAAAAAAAATTAATGAAAAAATATTCAAAACTTGCAGCAGCGCAGAATTTTTCAACGGCACGGAGCATAACTCAAAGGTTGTCATTCTTGTTTTTCAGACTTTTTTCAATATCTTACATATACAATTTTGAAGAGAAATGTTTAGGGGATACATGGTTCAAACATCTTTTATCAACAAATTATTTCCTTTTTTTTTCGTCTAAGACTGAAGTCGAATATTTGTAAACCACCTAAAAATATTTTTTTTAAATCCCATACGTATTTCTTTAGCTATAAACATGTAAGATAAGCAGTTTTTTCTTTTTTTTAGATATATATTTGCAGCAGCTACACTGCGTGCCGCAGAGCGCATCAAATTAGATGTACCTCGCGAAAATGACCGAACATTTCTGAATGTTTTTCATAATTTTTGTTACCTGACTATATACTCCATAACTACCTCAAATATTATAATCTTACTGCTTTTTCTGCCACAAAGAGCATTACAAAAAATCACTTCTCTTTTAGGCTGCTACAGCGGGGTATTACCCTTAATGCTTTAAGCTCTGAATAACTTATTCTATATATAAAACTTTCATCAATCAGAATAAACGTTACCAACCTTTCAGTTGCATGAAGATTAATCAGTGTAGAACATATTTAAAATAGATTGTTTGCTAGATGAAATTCCGATTTTGAGGTATTTTGAATAAGATACTTACCAGGAAGATATTCTCGCTGACGGTAATACTAACGGACCATCTACCGGGGTTCATTACAAACGGTTTGGGCGTATTTCCGGTCTCACCAGAAAGAGTAACGAAGGCAGGCTTTGACGTGTTCCTGAGCTGAACCTTGTGGAACTGTTCGATGTCATTCGGATTGTCTGGAATCACTCGAACACCACCAATGACGGTATGGGGATTCCTGTTGACAAAAAAAGAACGTTTTATTTGTACTCGTATTTTTGAGATTCTTATTTTTGTTTGTTGAAGATTTGTTTAACATTAATGCTACAATCTCAATTTTGTATAATTACCCGTTGTTAATCAATTTTCTGTATTCTTACATTATTGTTTATTAGAATTATATCATTATGGATTTTGAGTATTCATAGAGTGATTTTTTAAGTTCACCTTAAGCATTTATAAATTCAGACACAATACTCCAAAGGAAAGTAACTTCGCTCTCCATAGGTAAATGATAATGTCTTTTATAAATATATCCTGCTAACTGCTTTACTTATGCTGAATTATGACTTGGCCAAAATAGTAAATTGGTTAACTTTAAATAAACTAAAACTGAATGCTTCTAAAACAAAATGTATGCTAATAGGGAAATGTATACTTAAATGCTGAAAGTTGACTGAATTAAATATTTGGGTATATGTACACCTTGGGAAAAAACATTATTATACATTATGATGAGGAAGAGAGATGGAAATATACAAAAGTATGTAGGAGCGTGAAAGACACTCGATTGTAGGATCCTATGTGGCAGCGTCGGAGTGTGACGGACAACGGGGTCAAGTAGAAGAGTGATAAAAGAGAGAGATGGTAGAACGGGCGCTGGCGCCTACCGCTTAGACGGATGCGCTCAACCACAGCCGACGTCAACTACGAGCCGTGAACAAAGAAATCTGGCAACGTAGGTGGTAGTGTTACTCCCGCCGCTCAAAACGCTGAGAAAACATAACCTTTTCAATTTGTGATTTGGGAATCGCAGAGGCTGTAATTAAGAGATAAGCTTGTTTTCTAAGCTTCAAAGTGTGTGTATGTGTTCAAAGTGATCGGTGACTATAATATATGAGAAATAGACTCCAGTTGTAGTGCTTCTGTGCTTTAAAAATAAACTAAGAAGTGTGACTGTGGCTGTTCGCGCCTCAGGACGCTAAGGATTTCAACTATTTTTTCAGCATTTGGAAACATAACAGAAATTATCAAATTACTACCAGTTTCAAATCTAACAGGTGATGAAATGACACCTTTGGTTGAACATGAGATAAATTTAGTTCAAAAATGTGGATTTGAAGTTATTTGTGTTGTTACTGATAATCACCGAATTAATAGAGCAATGTTCAGGACATTAGCAAAGGATTCATCAGAAAATTATTCTATTCCAAATCCACATAATCCTGATAAGAACATATATATTTAACTTATGATGTTGTGCATATTTTCAAGAGTATCAGAAATAATTGGATTAATTTAAAAACCCTAGACAAAACTTTTGTATATCCTAATTTTGACAATAATGATATTATTCAGTATGCTAAATTTGAAAACATTCGTGCTGTATATCAATTGGAAAAAGAAGCTGTAGTTAAGAAAGCAAATAAATTAAATTATAAAACATTGCATCCAAATTCATTTGAAAGGCAAAATGTAAATTTTGTAGATAATTTATTCCATCACTCAACAATAGCTGCTATGAAAGAATTAAAGTTTAATGATGCTGCACACTTTTTAGAAAGAATCAGGAATTGGTGGGATATTGTCAGTAATACAAGTGTAATAAAAGGAGAATTGAAGCGAAGCGAATTTTGTAAGCCTATTACCAATAAATATGATTATAGAGTACAATTTTTTAAAAAATTCCTGATATGGTTAGAAAATATCAAAGCACGCTGACTCTACTTAATATAATTGAATATTCATTTAATCAATTTGACATTGAGTATGTATTGCCTGGAAGATTCACCACTGATAATTTAGAAAAACGATTTGGCAATTATAGACTTTTATGTGGCTGCAATTACAATGTGTCATATGATGAAATTTTAAATGCTGAAAAGAAAATATGGCTGAAGCATATTTTCAATGAAAAGAAATCGTCATTTTCTTTATCAGAAATTAAAACAAGGTTCCAAAACTGCTTAGAAACTAAAGAAAATTTTGATTTCTTGGATACCAAACAAAATCCTGAAGTTTTGGATATATTCAATGAAGTATTTGAAACAAATTACTTAGCCAATTGTGACATAGAGGATAGTACTAAGACTTAGCTATCTCTAAAAACCTAAACTGCGAGATATGCAAATCGCTAATAGTTAAAGAAAAAGGTTCATTAACAACAAATGTTTATTTTGATCATTTGCAAAGAGGAGGACTGTCAATTCCAACCAGTTATGTATCAATCATATTCTGCCATATGTATGCCAATTTTGAATCTATTATTAATGTAGAGGATTGGAAATTTTCTTCTTGAAAAGCAATAATCAAAATTTTATTTTGTGTCAGTTAACTTTGCTCAGCATTCAGTCTGACTTTATATACAGCGAATTTTCTTCAACTTGCATCTGTGGCCGCAATTATGCAGATATTTTATCTAAGCTTTTGTCTATTTTTTCAAACATAATTTTGAATGATTATGTAAAATTGAAAAATAACAGTAAAAATGAAAGTAAATGTATTAAAAACAAACAGGTAACTCCACATTTCCAAGCTGGGCCTGTTGGAACACAGTGTGCTGACACCAAAAAACGTAAACTAAATACTTTTAATTAGGTTAACTGCATTAGCGACTCATATATATCACGATTATTTCGTATTTTTAAATTTTTTAGAGTTATTTCATATTCAGACGATTTATATCGAATCGAACTGTCCTCTTTTCCAAAATTAAATTTAGTTCTTGAACGTTACACGGAGACGGAGCACACAGCCGCTGGCGGCCGACGTTCACAGGTAGCACTACCATGCCGTCCGAGCGCGGTGTTGCCTTTCTTTCATCACGGCTCGTAGTTGACGTCGGCTGTGGCTCAACAAATGCGATTTGTTTCTCCCATTCGCAGAGTTGCCGATACCAATATGTCATATTTCTAAGAAATCTAAGTCTACCCAAATTTCGGGAAAAATAGCTGCGGATTCCACATAAGAGTATTCCAAAAATGAAAAAAGTTCAAACTATTAAAATTGTATTAATGTTTCATGGTTCAAATCATATTTTTCATGTTTGTATATTGTTGTATAAATGATTTTGTAATCCCTATTCTTGTTGCCAGTAGAGATACAACACTATTGAGAGAAATCACGGACCGCTAAGTAGGGCTACAACTACCATATGACTATCAAATAGTAGTGATAAACAGGGTTTGTTTATAGCACAGTTGCCTGGTGTGGCGAATTTGCGCCATAGGGGCGATTTGACAACTTTGAAGGACAACTATAACGGTTACTATGGTGCCCGGTATTCGGGAATCTGGCAATACCTGATGATTCCTTAAGTTTATTACGCCAGATTGTTTGCTGACTTGCGCAGTACAACATGACAATCAACGTGACTGAGCACCTTTTAACCCTGGTTTAAGGTGTTATATTTAAAGAGCTTGGGGCAGTTAGGTATCTAGGTCACATTTTTTAATGTATTTCGAGAAATCCGTAATGTTGAGTAAATACTAGATCACGTTTCTTGCTTAGTTTGCTGAAAATTCTACAATAGACGTACATTTTGAGAAACAGAGATTTGGTGACGACAAAATCGTAAAAATATAACGCATTTTCGTAAAATAATTTCTTTGTTGAAAAGACTGTGGCTTGATGACCCATTGAACGAGTATAGTGTCCCGCTCCGCTTTGAATATTCGAAACACTATACTCCAGCAGCATTCAGCTTCAATGTTAGCTTTATGAAGTTCTAACGTCTAGGCCATGCTGATTAAAAGCTTGAATGAATCAACACTTAACTCCAAATTCCCCACAATTCGGGAAGCTCTACTCAAATTGGCAACACAGCGTATCTGCCTATTATTCTCATTCGTGATACAGGTCTGCGGTTAACGGTAGGAAATATGTACGAATGGCGATGAAAGTAGACGAGCCGATGCGCTGTTGCCAAGAAATGATTTCCCATGTATAACAATGGTTTTTCCTAAGGTGCATATACTCGCACTGATAGTAAACTAAAGTTTGAGGATCACTATAAATACATTATTTCAAAATGTGACAAAAAAACAAATTATTCTTTGTTTACTGCCAATGAAGCTGTAAAATAAAGCTATGAGAATAATATTGTATAAAAGTAATAATTACTGAACTAAATAATATAAAAGTCTACTTGTAATTTAAAGATCTTTAAAAGAAAACCAAAGTAACATTTCATGAACGGTGAAAATTCTTAAAGATGCAAGTCTTGTTTTAAAAAAATCTTACTGAATAAATCATAACAAAAGAAGCTTCAATATGTCAGTTTGACCAATAAACTTTATACTCGGAATCCAAGTGAGATATAATTAATATCAGATACAACTCGTCATCATGTAAGTACTCCTCTTGAGTAATTCAATAAACCGGAAAAAATTGGAAAAAGGCTTTTAATGTTATTGAAAAACGGACAATAAATGTTAACACCTCACTCCTTCTGAAATGGACTAGTCTGCAAGCAAAATCTTCCTATTGCATTCACTTGAGTTTGTCAGTTTGATACCAGACTACTAAATGCTTCAATGTGATTGTAAAATGAATATGAAATGTCATTAACGCAGATTTACGTATAGATTAGGCTAAATGTCACATACTCGTACAATCAAAATATTCAACATTTATAAAATTAAATGTGATATACTGAAGAAATAGGCATGTAATTTAATATTATCTACTACGGGGAGTGAAGTATACCTCATAAATGTGTTTTCCGGGGGTTGAGTTCCACTTGTCCTTAGATATTCCTCGCTAGGCAGCGACACAATAGTACGGTCAATTGTTTTAATTTTTGATTCTACTCAAAAGCCAATCTAAATTTTCGGCTTTTACCGATTGAAGATAAAATTTTGCATGTATCTTCGCACTTTGACCTTTTATTTCAAATCGGGTACCGTAGCAGTCCGATTTATTTCTTATATATATACTTCGAAGTTGAGTCATTTATTTTAACAGTGAGTAGATCTGATCAAAAGAAATGTTTTTTTCCTTTACCATTTTTCTGGTAAAATTAAAGTAACAAAGTTATAGCCCTTTGGAAGTTTGAGTACCGCCCTGCCTCAATCATAATATTATGTGCTCGTGTTTGGCGACAACGGATATAATCCGCCGTATCGGTTCATCGCATCGGAAACAAAAAAGCGAAAGAATTTGGAACGATGTTTTTACAATTATTTCATTCATTTGTATACAGTCAGTGTCAGTGAATAGTGGTATCTGTTGCGTGGCTCAAACGAAATAAAAAATGGCACATGTTTATGCGGATCGGTTTCCCAATCGAGTGCAACCAACCCCTCGTGCCTTTGTTAATGTAGTACAATGGGCTCGTGAATCAGGTGACTTAAGACCTCACAGGGGACCTCACGATCAAATACAGGTCCGCACTGAAATACTTGTCGGGAGGATACTTTATAAAACAAGGTAAAATTTTTTTTTAATTTTTTTTTTATTTTTACACACATATTTTGGTTTATCTTCCTTCTACAATCATTATCTGAAAATTAATGACTCAACTTCAAAGTCACCCTGTATATACAGTCACCCCGACTTTGAAGTTGAGTCATTAATTTTCAGATAATGATTGTAGAAGGAAGATAAACCAAAATATGTGTGTAAAAATAAAAAAAAAATAAAAAAAATGTTTACCTTGTTTTATAAAGTATCCTCCCGACAAGTATTTCAGTGCGGACCTGTATTTGATCGTGAGGTGCCCTGTGAGGTCTTAAGTCACCTGATTCACGAGCCCGTTGTACTACATTAACAAAGGCACGAGGGGTTGGTTGCACTCGATTGGGAAACCGATCCGCATAAACATGTGCCATTTTTTATTTCGTTTGAGCCACGCAACAGACACTATTCACACGCGACTGACACTGACTGTATGTATAACTGAACTGAATGAAATAAAAACATCGTTCCAAATTCTTTCGCTTTTTTGTTTCCGATGCGATGAACCGATAAGGTGGATTATATCCGTTGTTGCCAAACACGAGTACATGATATTATTATTGAGACAGGGCGGTACTCAAACTTCCAAAGGGCTATAACTTTGTTACTTTAATTTTACCAGAAAAATGGTAAAGGAAAAAGCATTTCTTTTGATCAGATCTACTCACTGTTAAAATAAATGACTCAACTTCGAAGTCACCCTGTATATATACAGGGTGTTTCAGTTTATTGTTGCATAACTTTAAGATTCGATAGAACTTTTAAAATTAATGCATAAAGTCTATATAAACATGGGTCGAAAAATGCGTGGCTTCCGAAATACAGGGTGTTTAAATTTACTTTTTAAAATAGTTTTTTTTAAATATTTGGAACAATATTTGATGTATGACAGTGAAAATTGGTACACAAGGGTTCTTTGGTCCGACAAAGCGAACTATCGGCATAATTTTACTGTAGCCGCTAGAGGGCGCTCTCTACTGTACCTGTAGTGTATTAAAATGACCGAAAATTTTTTCTTAGTGCAATTTTTTGCTTTTCGAATAAAAAAACTGATTCTTCGCACTTTTCAACATAAAAAAGCTCTCCTGTGAGTTTTCGTTACAGATAGCTGTTTTTGAGATATTTCGATTTTTAAGGTTCGATGCATTTTTAGTTATTTATGGGAAAATAATATTTTTTTTTACATTTTCGATTTATGCATTACAAGTAATTAAGATCATCGTTTACATGGTGTTTTTAAACACAGCAATAATTCCTAACTCCAAATAAACAGAATATTAATTTGTTTAATTTTCCAATATTATTTTTAACAAATTAAATTAATTATTTACAACTAAAATGCTATTGGATAGTTAGGACAAACATACACAATCTAAAGTAGTTGCTCGAAATGTTACCCCAATTGTTCAATACACAATTCACATCTACGAATGAAATAAGGCCTTAATTCATCACATGCATTCCTGATTCTGTCTATTAGCATATCTCTTGTGGTTAAGGGAGTCTGGTACACTTTTTCTTTTAGAAATCCCCACACAAAGAAATCTAATGGATTTAGGTCAGGGGATCGTGGAGGCCAGGCGACTGGTCCTCCACGGCCGATCCAACTTTCTGGATAATTTTCGTCCAGCCAGTTTCTAACTATTCTCGAATAATGAGCTGGACAACCATCAAGCTGGAACCAGGCCAATCTTCTTAAATCTAACATAACATCATCCCACATATTTGCATGTTCAGCCTTTAAAAATTCCAAGAAGGTCGCAGCATTTAACCTTGCAGGCAAAAGGTAGGGTCCAAATAGTCGATTACGGTAGATACCAATCCACACGTTCACACTAAATTCATGCTGAAAATTTCTTTCCCGAACGGCATGCGGATTTTCATGCGACCAAATATGTTGATTATGAAAATTTACCACTCCACGTCTAGTGAAGCATGACTCATCGGTCCATAAAACGTTACTTAAAAACTCCCTATTATTATCAGTTCTATTAAGAATCCACTAACAAAATGTGATTCTTCGTTCTCCGTCCCCTGGCTGTAGCCCTTGCACAGGATGCAAATGGTAAGGACGTCTATGGTCATTTCTAAGAACATGATGAACATGGCTTGCTGAAATTCCCAAGGCACCAGAAACTCTCCTACCACTTGTGGTCGGATCTCTATCAAACTCACGCAGAATCATACGGGTAAATCTGCGCTGACGAACATTTATGTTTTGATCCCTTTGGAGATTTCCAAAACCATTTTCAATTATTTGGCGATGCACTCTTACAAATACTGAGCGAGTTGGATGTCGTCTGTTTGGAAATCTTCGTGCGTATTCTCTGGCTGCTTCTGCTGCGTTTCCATTTACAAAGCCATACACAAAATGAATATTCGCTAACTCTTGATTGGAGAATAAAAATGGCATTTTTATAAAACTTGCAAAAAAAAACAGGTAAAAGAAACTATATTTCGTGCATTCACAATTGCAAAAAAACGTTTCAGGTTTCAACAGACAACAAAACTAACTGTCAACTAATTGACGGTTAACCTTATTCTGCTTTCAATTTCAAAAATATTTGCAGGCATAGCCTACTTCTAATAATTATCGAGATACTGACTGTTTAACGTTATTTTATCATAAATAATCAAAAATGCATCGAACCTTAAAAATCGAAATATTTCAAAAACGGCTAACTATAACGAAAATTCACAAGAGAGTTTTTTTATGTTGAAAATTGCGAGGAATCAGTTTTTTTATTAAAAAAGCAAAAAATTGTACTAAGAAAAATTCAAAATCATTTTAATACACTACAGGTACAGTAGAGAGCGCCCTCTCGCGGCTACAATAAAACTATGCCCATGGTTCGTTTTGTCGTACCAAAAAACCCTTGTATACCAATTTTCACTGTTATACATCAAATATTGTTCGAAATATTTAAAAAAAACTATTTTGAAAGTAAATTTAAACACCCTGTATTTCGGAAGCCACGCATTTTTCGACCCATGTTTATATAGACTTTATGCATTAATTTTAAAAGTTCTATCGAATCTTAAAGTTATGCAACAATAAACTGAAACACCCTGTATATAAACGACGATTATTCACCTTATCTGATGATCTCAATCCGACATAGTTGAGTTTAGACAATATCATCTCACCTGTTGACAAATCTCAGCACCATCCTATACAAAGACGGTTTATCGATATAAATATCTTGGATGATCTCCTTCTGCAATACTGAGAAAGTGGCGTAGCCCTTCCATGAGAAATTAGGAAAGACCGTTTCGTTGTAGCTCAATCGTACTCTGTTGTTTTCGGGCGTTCGTCCGTTTTCAGCTTCGTACTGGTAGTGGTACAGCGTGGGGAAGTAGTGCGCCTGTAGTGGTTCCTTGCAAGTACGACCTGTCACTCTGCTTTGGCATTGACATTGACCCGATTGCTTGTTGCAGACGTTACTTAGTGAACCACCGACGTCGCATCCACAGTCTGTAAAATTATTAGAGTAGAAATTATTCTAATATAATTGATTAACACACTTCTCCAGAAGAGAACCATCCGTTAGTTGCCGAAAATGGTAAATATTTCTGTGGATTTCAAGAAGTAGTTTTAGCTGAATAATAGCAGACAATTTTATCAATAAGTGTGTTAATATATTAAAGCCGTCGAATGAAAGGGTATGTACCTCAACGTTAGGCCTTTACCTGGATAGAATAGGATTAGATTATTCTGATTTAGTTCTACCCACTTTCTGTTACTTTGAGTGACCAGTGCTGACCCAATAACATCATTGAAAAATGCAAAATATTGGAGACAAACAACATTTTTTCATGGATACTGGAAAGGTCCAACCGAAACAAACTTTAACATTGAGACTTATCTATTTTGAATCTATAGGTTCTTAAGGAACAAGCTATACGTATGAAATTGATTAAATTACTTCCAAATATTTTTATTGAATAAATAAAGTAACAATAAAATAATACCAGTAATTTCTATATTATGCTCAAATAAGTATTAGCTTTTAGTCAAGAATCTGCTCGGATTACAACAACTGTCTAGCAAAATCGAGTAGAATTCAAGCAAGGTTTTCCACTACTCCCAATATCAGGCATTCCACCAATGCTAGTTGATTGAGACAATTTTTCATATTTTTTACCTTCCAAAATCACGAACTAAGGGTGGATTTCACCAGGATTGTTAAATGAACAGTCCGTTATTCTCCTCCTATAGGGTAACAGCCCGTCAAATAGAGCGAATGATCTTCAAGTTCCAATCAACAAATTTTAGCAACGAATAGCTATGAAATGTTGAAAACAAAATGCTGTCAAAGTATGAGATGACGGCTTGTCATTGAAACATCACCAGCTTATTGAATATTAAGAAATTACATATAATTTACTCCGATTGCCCTGAATTGATTTTTGTGCATATAAAAGGTACAGACTGATAGATTACCGTAATTACCTCAGCAATAAAGAAACCGAAACCTGTTTTTAAAATAAATATTTAATTAAAATGAGAGGTGAGTTCATGAGTTCAGGGGTAAAACAAAAATATTTACAATCTTATATGCACATTGTAGAAGTTGTAATATAGAACTATGCCCTCAGAAAACATGTGTGCGCGCCCAATACAATAACAGAGGCTTTTCATGACTCAAAGGTCCTTGACCTACCACTGATCTTGGAACGGCATTTACCTTATACCGAATTCAACGACACTATTTACCGATTCCGTTTTTTTCCGGTTCGGCAACACTGCAGATGTGCAGATCACTTTAAAAGCAATTGATATCCCAGACGTGTTATAATAATAGGAATAATAAGAAAATATAACAATGTTTGGAGATATATTTTCATATATATACTAAGTGACATATAAATCCGAACACCCAGTTTAAATGGTTTTATTTTAATAAAATTTTGTACAAGTACTTAATGAAGCATAATAAGTAAATGATAAAAATTTCAAAATGATTGCACTGCTTTAAAGCCCTTTGACCTTTAATAATGTGTGGATGCACCCTGATGTGCTACGCATTCTCCAACGCGCCTAGGCATGCTTCTGATCAGGTGGTCAATGTCCTCCTGTGGTATCTCATTCCAAGTAACCACCAACTCCTCTCGAAGTGCCTCTACAGTCTGAGGAAGACGTTGCAAATTGAGCAATCTCCTACCCATCATATCCCACACGTGCTCAATTGGGGATAAGTCGGGAGATCTTGGTGGCCGTGGTAACAATGTGACATCATTATGTTGAAAGAAGTCTATTGTGACTCTTGCAACATGTGGTCGGGCATTATCTTGTTGGAAAGTTGGATCTGTCAGGGTGTCAAGATAGGATAAAGATGGGGTTCTAGAACTTCGTGGATATAACGCTGCGCGTTCATGTTACCTCTGATGAAGATTAAAGGTGACCTGGAACCATAAGCTATAGCACCCCAAACCATAACTCCAACAGTGTGATGCACATGTCTTTCAACAAAAAACTGTTGATTCCTCCTTTCACCACATCGCCTTCTAACCCTGGCACGACCATCGTGCATGCCTAAACAAAATCGAGACTCGTCACTAAAGACAATACTGTTCCATTCCTGATCCCAGAGTGACCGTTGTCTGCGCCACTCAAGGCGATTACGTCGGTGTTCTCGAGTTAAAGGGAGGACCCAGTGTGGCCGGTATGAAAACAAGCCAAAACTTCTCATTCGTCGGTAAACACTTCGCATGCCAATAGGTCTTCCCTGTTCTGCAAACCATTCATTTGCAATGGACCACAGTGTCTACACTTCTTTGCACTCTAACTGCAATTGCCCGAAAAGAAAGTCCAGCTTCACGAAGTCCCACTATACGGCCCCTATCAAACTCACTAAGTTGACGAAATCGTACAGGTCTCCGTACTCTAGGCATCGTAACCGATCGTAAAAGATGTCAAGAACCAAAATCCGCCAACGTTGATTCTTTACTGCGGCTGAAATATTCATTTTTAGAGCGTTAGTGAATTAAAAAAAAGCAATATAAAAATCGGAATGTCCAACTGATAAGGCTGAAAATTTTTTCACTTGTTATTTACAGTAAGATAAATACATTCACCAACTTTTATTTTAAAATAAAACCATTTAAACTGGGCGTTCGGATTTATATGTCACTTAGTATAGGTATTTTTGATTCTGACAATATTTAATCGATGAATAATAGGTGGATACGGATACTTTTACAAATATCTATGTTTTAGGACCCAGAAATGCAGAATGTTCTGTTTGTTTACATTTGGTGTGGATTTCTAGATCATAAATTGGCAAGAGTTGTTTTTGATATAACAAAAGATGATGAACCAGTTGGAACACGGTTTATATGATTTTTTTCGCAAAATAACAAAAATCGGTATATTTCTACAGATACGTGTTATGTACAACACCCTGTACGTGATATACAGACAAAACTAGATTGCCATGCATGAACAGTCGTCAAAAACAGTGAAAACATCCTACCAAATATAATAGCTAGAAAATCGACCTATTATTCCTCTCATTTTCATTTTTCCATTTAAATAACTGGCCGTCTTTTCTGAAATGATAAAAATTTGAAATTCTATAAAAGTTATCCTAATTCTAAAGCACAAAGACATGATATTACATGTATAATTTACCCTTATTTATAAGGCAACCGTTTTTTCACGGCTTTATTCAACATTTCAATAGAAATCACTGATATTCAGAGAGCTTCGACAGCTTCCGTCAAATTGCATTTCGATAAGGTCTGTTCCTATTGATCCAACTGACCGTCAAATATTAATGTTGGTGAAATTGGCCCTAAGTAAACTTTTTCATATGATGTACCGTTAATAAATATTTACTTTGTGCAAGTTGTTTTTTTTACATCGAATGTGTGAATGTTGCGTACACACGTGTTCCCTCGCCAGAGTCCGTGTGGCGTTCCCCCTTTCCCCTGTATCCCCCCTATAACCCCACGGTACCCAATGGGTGTTTAGGCATTAGGCCTTCATGGTAGTTGGAGTATAAAAAAAAGCCTAAATGCCAGCGCACGGCGGCTACTATGAGGCGCTTAAAATAAACTTTATTTATTCGATTTTTTAACAGCCTAAGGTTAGTAGAACTGGGAAAAGGCTCCTCACGTAGATTATTCCACATTCTTGATACCATAGAGACACAGGAGCGATCGTATCGGCCATTTATTGAATTTGAAAAATTAAGATGATATACAACAAGCCGTAGAGCAAGAGATCATAAGTAATTATAAATATAAATACTATTAGATAAGGTTTATCCAGGTTATGGACAAAATATGTTTTGTTATAATCTAAAAACAGACGGTAGACCTATTATGTAAGTGTCCGTGGTTGACACCTTTAGGTATCAGAATTGGCACCTCGCTGCATGTTATGGGATTTCCTTTCTCGTCGTTGAGCAATTCTGTGAGTACGACAGTTCAGGAATAATTTCAAGCGAGGCTTATGTTATGCTTAAGAATTAGTAGTTTTTAAAAGGAAAATGGAGTCGGTTATTACTATTTCTAAAGGAATTACCGCGATTCTACTTTCAAACCTGACTATGACGGTGGAAATATTGTATATGAGCGTCCAATCACACGATAGGATTGAGCATCATCTTGGAGATGGTAATTATTGGTATTATTTAGCGATGTTTCAAGAGATTCAGATATTAGCACATACTAATTCAAGTCAGTTCCATTAATAAACTACACTGAGAAAACAAGGTCAACTAAACAGTTTCTATTTCCCGTGATAAATATTTTAATTATTCTAAGTAACTAAATTATTAAGTTCAATCAAACTGAATTTTCTGGAATCGGTTTAAATAAAATTGCAAACCATATACATGTTTTATTAAACTTTTTGATGGGTTTAGGTAATTTAATTTGTGTAGAAAAGGTACATTTAAAACAATTAAACATTTTTATAAAAAAAGTTAATATTTTTATTTGAATCGCACACTCAGCATTTATGTATGATCGGGAGTATGCGACAGGCTCAGTGCAATTAAATCTAAATAAAATAACCAATTAAAACTATGGAAGTACTTTTACCTGCACTAATTAAATAATTTGATTAACTATGTATAGTAGTAGTAGTAGAAAGATTTATTTAGCACATTTGGCTACATAAACAGAATAATTGTAAACAACTTAGAACTAGTAAATTCAAGCCATATGGTGTATGATGTAAATGCTGGGCAACCTATAATTGTAGATTTAACAAGTGATTTCTCAATTTTACTTTAAATTTTGTCAAAATTTTCTGGTCTTTTATCTCTGAGTATAATTTATTATATTCAACCCTTGATGGAATACAAATTTGTAGCATATGTTATACCTTTTGGTCATTAAATGGAAGTCATCTTTATTTCTGGAATTATGTAAATGATGGTCGACATTTGATGATGTTAAATTAGTTAGACTTGATGGAAATATATTATTTTTTACTTTATAAATGAATATCATTACAAGATATTTGATAAAAATTTTTACATTGAGCCATTTTAATTTGCTAAGCATTTGCCTAATTGGAGTATATTTATCTTTATTTAGTATTATTCTCGTGCACTTATTTTGTAAAATTTGCAGTTTTTCAAAAATGGAATTATTTGCTAAATATAGAATAGTCGAACAGTACAAGAAATTTGGAAGAATGATGGTATTATAGATAATTTTTCTGCTATATGAACTCAGACATCCAGAAACTCTCGATAAATATCCCACTTTACTACTAATCTTATTTATAACTTTTTCATAATGAATATCAAAAATTAATCTTTCATTTTACTTGTATTTAATTTTAGTCTGTTAGATGCTAACCATTTTGAGACAAGTTTTAAGTATGAATACTTTTAGTACTTATATAAATCATAGTGTCATCGGCGAAAATCTGAATTTTGCATTTTTTTACTATGGCAGGTAAATCATTTATGTATAAAAATATAGCTCTCGTCAATGTTTCACTTGGAGTAGGTAAACCCATCTTAAAAGTTCAATAATTTTAAATGAATTGGTGTAATCAATTTGAGTAAATGGTTTGATAAATTAAGCCATTGCGTTTTGATTTAATTAAACTCGTATCATAGATTCTAGTAAACTATTCTAGAGATCTAAGTTTGATGAAAGTAATTAAACTTGTTAGCTGTCATATAGTTCATTAAATATTAGGAGAATGAAATATTCTCAAGTGACTGTACCTGTACAACCAAAAAGATCAGCTTCCATCAATCCATAAGTACCATCAGCACATTCAGAACATCTTCGGGCTACAACTGATGGTTTGCAGGTACATTGGCCGTCTTCAGTATCACATGTCGCTAAACCACCGAGCGTTCCTCTAAGGTCACATTGACATCTGAGCGGAAGAAAAATAGGTTAAAATCGTGCAAGAACTCGTTGTGTCAATTTATCATTGATTAATAAACACGCTCTTGTGTCAATTTTGTTCACTCAAAAACTAGATATACAGACGTCTAATGAATGTACGTACTCCTCGCATCCATGTGGATTATTAAGGTTGAGATTCCAGAAAAGTGGTTTGCATCTGTCGCAGATCCTGCCCTCTACTCTTTCTTTGCATTGACATAGTTCACCAGCTGGTACTGATCCACATCCTGCAAAACCGGCTACTACTCCGGCAGGATGGCAGTTGCAATCTAAAAAGAGAATCCAAGATGCTAATTGCATGCCAAAAAGAAGTTACTAATCATAAAAAGTAGTGCCTAATTATAGGGTGTTCCTTAATGATATGCGAATATTTAAGGGTGTGAATCTACATGAAAAAGTAATGTTAGTTTGCTTTATAAACTATGGTCCAAAACTGTTTCCTTACAAAAACTCGCTGTGTTGAAGTATTAGGAAAAAAATGGAAATTAATTAATATTTTTAGAACAGCTTCAGATATGTTACTGATATTTAGTACGTAGTGAAGGTTAATAATGTCGCATATTTTTCAATGCAAAAATCATTTTTAGCTAACAGTGGCGTGCGTACGGGTATTGACTTCGATATTTTTTAAGAAAAAAATGGTACGCCAATGTTTTTTGCCAAATAAAATTCAATTCAAAATAAATGATCTCTCTTGAGTTTGCTTTCCTTCGATGCGCCATTTTTGAGTAAAAAAATTAAAACCGTTCTATTGTCTATCTTGAAAAATTATTATTAATTTAATTGGAAAAATTAAACACAAAGAAATCTAAACTGTTGAGGTCTGGGGACCTTGGTGGCCATTCTTGGGGCCCACCACGGCCAATCCAACAATTTGGATAAACAGTTTGTAAATAATTACGAACCGCTACACAGAAAAGCGCTGGTGCACCATCATGCATGTACGAGCCCCTTCCCACTTCAGTTGGCCCAACTATTGAAATCTTAGTTTTTTTCTTATCAAACACAAATAATAAAAATGTAGCAGGGTGTTATCGGTTTAAAATATTAACAATAAATATTTTGATAATATATAGCAGAAAACACCAACTTTATCACTCCCTAATCAAATTTGCAGCATAAAAATAACACATGTTGCAATTACAGCATATCAACCTATTTTCATTTCAATGCAAAATAAGTCTATAACGCATAGCAAAAATAAAAGCCATGACAATGGTTTTTATTAATCACAGCTGTCAGAATGCGTTTAAAATAGTTTTGGGTAGTTAAGGTTTTCAAAATGGGTAGAGGAAAGGTTACTAGTGAGAAAATTCGGTTACTGATAATTAAATTTTTTAAATACTGGGAAATCAAACTCAGAAATTGCAACTTTGTTAGACTTATCGCGGTACAGTGTGAGAAATATTGTTAGAAGATATAACGTAACTGGTTCAGTTAATATTAAGCCACGATATGTGAAAAAAGTAATATCACAAATGCCGACCGAAGAGCATTAAGAAGAATAATCGTGAAAAACAGGCGTGCCAATTATTTACAATTAAGTGCTCTGTGGAGAGACGCTGTTGGAAGGAGAATTTCGAGGTCCACAACTCATAGAGAGGCCCACAAACTGGGATTTAGCAAGGTAAGTTTTCTTATAAAAAAAAGTGAAGTAAAAACCCTAAAGTTGCACAACTTGTTTATAAGCCAAAGAAATGCCACTATTAACTCCACTGCAGAAGAAAAATCGGCTTAGATGGGCTAAAGAACATAGACAATGGACACCTCAACAATGGTGTGCAATACAATGGAGTGATGAGGCCCGATTGACTGTCTGAAGAGAAAAGTGAAATTTCCAGCATCCATTATGGTCTGGGGCAGTATGTCATCAAAAGGAGTAGGAAAACTTCATTTTATTGATGGAAATGTGGATACAAACAAATATTTGGCAATTTTAGAAGAATCGCTTTTACCAGCGATGGAAGAATGTTTGACATTTGGCCAAGATTTTGTGTTTCAGCAAGATGGTGCAGCGTGCCATACCTCAAAGAAGGTTATAAAATGGATGGAAGGAAATAATGTACCACTTTTGAAATGGGTTTCCAGCAGTCCATATCTGTCACATATTGAAACTTTGTGGCACGAGATGAAAAAGGTTCTACGACAACATCTTGCTCGTACAATCACGGAACTGAGACAAAAGCTTCAAGAAATACGGGATTGTTTTACATCAATTTTTTGCCAAAAACTTGGTTAACACTATGCCCCATGAATTTCAGCCGTAATAAAAAATAAAGGTGATGTTACCCAATGGTAATCTTTCAATTGTTGCTTTGTTAACTTCGCGCGTTTGTTCAGATGTACTATTAGTTATAGGTCTAAATATGTATTTTTTACGACTAGAGTGTATCTAAAATTTCTTTGAGAAAATAGATTGTTTTAGAAGTAAATAGTTTCGTCATGTTTCGTTTATAAAGGCATATTTTGGTACAAGTCTTGAAGTGGTCCAACTGAAGTGGGAAGGGGCTCGTACTACAACATATTGTTTCTTATTACTAACGGAACATGATCAAGCAGTAAAGGCAACTGTTGTTGAAGAAAATTGAGGTAAGTCTGTCCGTCAAGTCGTCCCGGCAAGAAGAATGAGCCAAATAAGTGGTTGCCAATAATTCCGGCCCATACGTTAACCGAAAATTGGTGTTGCAAATGGGTTACGGCATAATGATTTTCTTCTGCTCACAAATGATTATTGTGGAAATCCTGAATGGCATTTCGAGAAAAATTAGCTCCGTCCGTGAACAGAATCATTGATTCAAATTGCGGATTTTGTGTAATTTTTTGAAGATACCACTGAAAAAAGATCAAACGCCTTGGAAAATTAATGGGAAGTAATGCCTGTACTCTTAAAATATGGTAAGGATATAACAAAAAATCCACTAAAATTCTCCAAACAATTTGTTGGCAAATATTTAAGTATCTAGCGATCTTCCTCGTACTCGTTTCAGGATGTTCTTCGACTTCGTGTAGCACTGCTTCCTCAATATCAGGTGATCTCACACTTAGAGGTCTACCTTCAGATGTTCCTTTTCGAACAGAACCAGTTTCAACAAGACGACGATGAATATTATAAAAGGTTCGACTATCTGGCAAAGCACGATCGGGATATCTCTGGTGATAAATCCGTCTGGCTTGCTCACCATTACCGTCGGCAAGGCCATATACGTTATGTAATGCATTTCCGCCATTTCTGCATTTAATAATAATTCACCATTACAAAAGCTTAATAATGAAAATGATGTCACAGTGAACAGATTTGAATAACAGAGACTTGTCAGGTGTCGAAAGCCAGTGACATATTCCAGAGCAACTAGATATTTATTGGTAAATTGCATTCTTCAATTATTACATTAATTTTCTCGGACAATAGAACGGTTTTTATTTTTTTTACTAAAAAATGGCGCATCTAAAGGAAGCAACTCAAGAGATATCATTTGTTTTAAATTGAACGGGGAATTCAAAAATAATTTTTATTTAGCAAAAGACTATTCGCGTACGATTTTTTTCTTAAGAAATATCGAAGTCAATACCCGTACGCACGCCACTGTTACAACTAAAAATTATTTTTGCATTGAAAAATATGGAACTTTATTAACTTTCACTACCTACTAAATATCAGTGATCTGAAGCGGTTCTGAAAATATTAATTTCCATTATTTTCCTAAAACTTCAACACCCCGGGTTTTTGTAAAGAAACATTTTTGAACCATAGTTTATAAAGCAAACTAACATTAATTTTTTATGTAGATTCACACCCTGAAATATTCGCATATCATTGAGGAACACCCTGTATAAGTTACGTTTCGAGCCACACGTACTATTTATGTCCTCTCTAAAATAATACCAATAGCAACTATACTATTAAAATAAATGTTGCTTACCTTCACATGCAGGGAAATTATAGTAACCTTCTTTGCAAGCATCACATTTGTTGCCAGCAAAGTTTTCTTTGCACTCGCAGCTTCCTTCTAGGTCGCATGATATGCCCAAGGCACCATGAGAGTCACAATCACAAGCTAAAAAATAATGTTTATGAACAATAGTCACAACAAGACATATGGTTTTTCGTAATAATTGGAATTTATAAAATTATTAGCTTTCTTGTTGGTTTCAGTATTTTCTACCTAAAATTGAAAATACTCTTGTAAATACGAAAATGCGTAACGCATTGTTCGCCGCTGAGTGTCTTTGAATATGAAGGGGTATTTATGACTCATCGGATGATAAATTTAAGGTATACAGGGTTACGCAAAATTGACGCCATGGCTCAGATTCCTTATTTAAGCGATAATTAAATGAATTTGTTTTAAAAATTTGCTATATCAATGGAAAATTAGGTACGAATGATGACATCTGCTAAAAATCATCTACATCTTCCTTCTCGTACTCATGACTAGAGTATAGAGTAGAGTTCTCCACTTTGCGCATGATTTCGATTTTATTACGAATAGTCAAATAAGCAAAGGTTCTTGACTTAATCGTATACACATGCTCCTTCAAATCTCCCAAACCTCTTTATCACAGTCATTGACTATTTCCTTGAGGTCTCTTTTGTCGTTTCATTGCTTCAAAATCATCAGAAAATATATTAGAGCTTTATTCGATTTTGAGCGCCAGTAATGGAAACTGGACTGAAAGAAGTGTTTTTTTATCATTTTTGCTGAAATAAATGGTGATAAAATTATAATGCGATAGCATTATCCTTCTTTCTTCAAAACCTAAAAAAACCATGTCTGAATCATGACATTTTTTTGTTTTTTATCATATACGCCTAAAGTTTTATTTTACATAGCCTTGAAGATCAAATCAGATAGGTGACGTCCCTAATTCTACGTACACTGAGTAAACCAATTTCTGGCATTTGTCATGACTCCTGCCAGCATAGCAGGTGTTATGTTCGCAATTTCTTCCTGGATGCTAGTCTTCAAATCTTGTAAGGTTCTTGAAGGGTTCACATAAACACGGGATTTCTAAAATCACCACAGAAAAAAGGGCCCAAGTCGGGAGAGAGGACCGGCCACTCCAAATCGGCCCTGGCCGAGATGAGGCGCTCTGGGAACTATTCTCTCAAAACAGACATCAATGCTCTTGAAGTATGTATGTGCCGTGCACAGTCTTGTTGAAACCAAATACCCACCTAGTCCAACTCATCTAGCCGTGAAAAAAATTCCTGTAGCATGATTACATATCGGTCCGAATTTTGATTGAGGAAATTGCACACCACACTGTGACTTTGGATGATACAAAGGCCTTGGATACAATTCATGAGGCTTGGTGTATAGTAATGAAAATGAAAAATGACCAGAATACTCAAGAGTGGCGGCATCGCAATGTTTGTCTCGAAATTCCAACAAATATGATTCTTTTCATATCTTTAAAACGGTATTTCGAAAATTTTTAATAAGTTAATTCAATCATTATTTATTTACGTTTTTTTTAGATAATTGGAGATCTTAATTCAATACTCAAAAACCATAAAAAATCAATATTTTCCTATTTCTTTAGCTAGAAACATGAACAAAAAGTTTTTTCTTTCTTCTAGATCCAAATTTGCAGCAGTTACGATGTGTTTCGCAAAATGCCTGGGGTACCGACATTTTTGAAAATTATTTTATAATAATGTTTCTTTTGTTATTTAACTCAAGGCTGTCCAACTTAATGTGGCCAAAGGGCCACTTCAAAAAAAAAATGCAGTTTGGAGGACCGCGTTATAAAATCTTTCTATACAACATTATTACTGAGTTTTAATAGGTATATACTATACTATATAGTATACAAAAATAGTTTTTCTATTATTTTTATTTATTCAAAAATATGAAATTACAAAAAAATCACTGGGACATTTGAGGATGTAGGTTTTCTAATACTAATGCATCAATATTAACATTAATATATATTTGTTGTTGATAAACGAAGTAACTGAGTACAACTTATCAGAGAGGGAACATCTATACTTTGACTTGATAAATTTGATGTTGGAAAAGCTGCTTTCGCAAAGATACGTGCTTCCCATCATTGATCCCATTGTAAGTCCTAAGTTTCGCAAGTTGGGGTATCGTTCTCCTGGCAGTAACTTAAAAAAGTCCAAGCCAGTTTCAGTTCTTCCTTGTTAAAAAGGATCTGATTGCAACACAATTCCAGTTGAAGGTCTGCTGTGCTTACGTTCTTAACAGAAATTGTTAGTGGCTGAGTAAAAACTGAAATGTCGCTTTCGATTTTTTAAAGTCACTAAATAGATTTTTGAATTCTTCTGCAATTGTGTCAATGTATTTTATATGAGGTAAATTAGGAAACTTCCTCAAAATCCTTCATTTCTTCGAAATGTTCTTTACAACTTGGAAACTATGAAAAATCATTTTTTTGTAATGAAGACTTGAAAAGCTTAATTTTATTCTTAAACCCATTTATGTGTCCAAATAAGTTGGCAATATTCTGCTGTTTTCCTTGTAGCTTCAAATTCAATTCGTTAAGGTGAGATGTCATGTCTGTTAAAAATGCAAGGTCTGCTAAAAATTGTGCATCTGCCATTTGATTTTCCAGTTCCGTAGTGTCGGACTTCACTTCATTTTTAAGGAAAATAGAAATTTCCTTGCGTAGAGCGAAAACTCGTTGTAAACACTTTCCGGCGCTTAACCAACGAACATCGGTGTGAAGTAACAAGTCCCCATATGTAGCATCCAATTCGGCCAAAAAATCACGAAACTTTCTGTGAGTCAAAGCACGATTGCCCCCTCTAACAATATTAGTTATTTTAACAGCTACTTTCATGACATTTATTTGACGTAAAGATTTTCCACATAAGCTCTCTTGGTGAACAATACAATGTATCATAGGACAGTTGATGCTGTTTTGTTTCAATAGTCCTGCAAATCCAATTTCAGTCCCTGTCATAGTAGTCTGACACCAACTTATTCACAGCTTCAAAAATATCTCTACCCTTGGTTGTACCATGGAGAGGAATAAGGTCAAGCATCTCCTCTGCTATACTGAAGTCGTCTTGAATAGTTCGGATAAAAATTACAAGCTGGCTAATGTCAGACAGATCAGTGCTTTCATCCAGGCATAGCGAAAAATATTTACATTTTTCAACCACGTCACACAATTTTTTGGATACATGTTCATTGATATGGTCTTGCAATTGTTTGATGCGATACTGAGACTGTTTCAAATTTTTCGGCAACTTTTAATTCATTGAATTGTTTCGCCATTTCTATTGCACACTTTTTGAAAAGCGCTCCATCACTAAAAGATTTTTTTGCTTTAGCAATTTCCAGCGCTATTTTGTAAGAGGCGGCAATACTGCACTTGTTATCAGAGTCAAATTTTTTGAAAATAATGAGAAGGCTAATGTTTTCGGTTTTTTCATACCTCAATACCTAATAACCCTGCATGACGATAGATCGATCCATTGCACGGTTTCTCCGAACCGATTGGTCAAAATTTGAAAGAAATCAAAAGAGCAAAATTTTCATATCAACAAATCCTGTAATCTGGTTGAAAATGGAAAAACCATTTTTCTTTTTTTTGTTGCTACTATTGAATTGTAACATCTTCAATTTTTTAAAAAAGCAATTGGAAAAATTTTAAGATTTATTTCAGTTTCAGAAAATACCCTTACATTATTTGTGCGATCACTGGTTACTGACATATCAGTGGTCGATGACAAAAGGACCCTTCTTCATTCAAAGTCGGACATCTCCGCGCCAAATGATCATATCGAGATTTTGGAAACATTATATTGAAGCTGAATAAACGGTCTATACGGATGACCTGACAGAAAAAAAAATGTGGACTAAAAAATGTTTCTTGCGCTATCTGTAAAAATTGCATGAGAACCGTTGTTCTTCAAATTTTTCAGCTAAACAGTCTGAAAACTAGACTTTAATATGATCAGAGTTTCTATAATATAATCCTCCTTATTACCTTTCCTTTCACAAAAAAAGAAATAGAATAAAAAACCTCTTTTTTTAGGCCGTTACAGTGGTGTTACCCTAGTCCTCCAGCACTACGAAGGTTTAATGCCCTGTGTTGCTGGATCTATTTGGAACAGAATGACCTGCTGCTGAGTGTTCCAAAGTTTTAAATTGAGGTAGAGATACACGCCGAGGTAAAACAACAGACAGCAAACATAAAATTTACGATCGTGATTCTTTTCTCCATCTGTGGTGTGTTGCTTCATATCAAATTTCTAAAACCTTCTCCATCGAATTCTAATATAATTGAAAATAAATTCATGCCATAACGTTCATTTTGCGCCACTCTGTAAGGCCGATCAGCCAATCACAGACCGATCACAATAATCTATCCGAGTTCAGGCAAACAGTAACTGAATAATTTATTAGTCAATAATATCAATATCAATAATGTCCGTACGTTTGCACTCGGGATAGTTGTAGTACCCAGGACTGCATTGATCGCAAGTTCTCCCTGCGTAGTTGGAGAGACATGAGCATTTTCCTGAAGCACTGCATGTGGTACCGTGCGATCCAACCTTGCTACAGTTGCATGGCTTGCAATCTGGATGGCCATAGTAGCCGAGGATGCACATGTCACATCTTTCTCCTCCATATCCTGGTTTGCAAATACATTGTCCACTCTGCTTATCGCATATGCCTTCTTCTGTACCACTTCTATCACAGTTGCAATCTAGAAGGAAGATGAAATTATATTTCAACTATAACATTTAAAAAAAATATGTCAAAAAAGTGAAACAGGCGGTCAAACTGATGTTTGCTGTCACGACGTCAGAATGGCCTGACTATTCGTCATTTGTATGGCTGGGCGGTCCGTAGGACCTTTACCCATTAGTCACTGTCTAATGTACGTTAGTCGAATCTGTCAGTCCTGGTTGCCCAGAAACCAGACGATGTCCAGGAAAAGGAGAAAGGGAAAGAGGAGAAAAAAGGAGAAGAGCAAAGAAAAACAGAAGTGTTTAGTTTAAGAGGAAACACCTAGGCTTTTTGACTTGGTACACGGATTAATTTTGACGTGAACTAAACAAATTTGATTCGGTTTTGTTAGACTGTAATTTTAAGTTTACTAAAAGTTCGCGCTAAATTTTTATTACAGTGCGAGCCGTGGCCTTGGATGTTTACGAACTTGCTCCACTGTGTAGTCCTTTGAATCGCGCAACAGAGGGTTGCTGTGCGATTCCGCTTGACTAATAAGTCGCTGCGCCTCAAGCTTGACATAATCCCTCAAGTAAGGAACGTCAAAGTCTCTGTGTAGTGTCAAAGTTTGAGACATACCATGGAGCGTTGCAAATTGTTCACAAAGCTCTACTTTATATAGGCGAGCTCTGTTTATCAAACCCAATTTGGAGGTTCTACATAACAAAGGATATAGTTGCCGAAACGCAATTTGGAATTTTGGTTGCAAGGCTGCGGTATGTTTCTGCCAGGTCATGCCTCTATCAAGGGTGACACCGATGTACTTGGCAGAATTTGTCCATGGTACACGATTGCCGTCTACAGAAACCTTTGCGGGGGGCCGCGACGTTTTTTGGTACAATAAATAGCCTGCGTTTTCCTATGATTAATTTTCAGAATGGCCTTTAAGACCTTAGCACTTGTGTCACATAGCGGGTGTTTCAAATTCGTTGAGATCTCTGGATTGGTAAGAGATACAGAGTCGCCAAAGTGGGGGCAAAGTTTGTGGGATTTCAAAATAAATTCCTCATTAACACTGCCACTTTTTTTCCTCTACGAGATTGCATAATTAGTATTTTAGTATGACCTTTCGACTCTCGTCCTCCAGCATCAACTTTTTGCTTAAGGACGCCATATATAATATTGCACTGGTGAATACAGTTTTTAATTATGATTCCAAAAATTGTATGTCATACATTAACATTACGAGAACTTATTTATCTGAAAAAAAAAACAGAATTTCCAAGGTAGGCCTTGAAATTATCAGATAGTCATTTGTTTCATATGCATACCAGAATTATCGCAATTCTGTTGGAGTTTTGTATATATAAATGGCCGTCAATTTGTTGGTGGAACGAAATTTATAAAGAATTAACAAGGAAACCTGGACCCAAAATGAAAATTTTATTGATGGTAAATAACAATAGTCATAAATAAGGACCAGATGTTAAAAACCTGATTTTGTAGGCAAAGCCTGACCTTTCTCAGGACATTATTCAGATTTATTTCTCTTCTTCTTGGTCTTCCAGACTCTGTTTGAGGTTTTCATACGCTCCCTGTGCATAAAGTGATCATACCTTTTTATTTTCTGCTAAATTTCGTTCGAACAACGAATGCATGGCCAACTAAGAAAATTCAACGCTGAGTTTAGGACTAAAAACTTCTTTTAAATGTACAAAATTCCAATATAGCGTCCATGAAAAAACAAAGTTAGCGATGGATGTCCAAAGAAGATACCTCGAATTGAAAATTTGACTACTTCATCTTGTATAGGAGAACAAAATGGTAATAACATGCAATTTATTTTGAAATCCCATCTAAAATAAAGACAGGAAAAATAAAAATGATTTGGCAATAAATCTGGTATATGAAACAAATTAAAAACTCTATTCACTTGTGCAAAAAAACAAAATGCCGTAATTAAGAAAAAACAAAGTCGATGCTGGAGGACGTCATATTGAAATTATAATTATGCCATCTTGTAGATGTAGCAATGTTAATGTGCAATTTATTTTGAAATCCCACTACAGATAAAGTCAGGAAAAAATTAAAACGATTTTGGAAAATTTCGTACATATACAATAGTTTTTTAATTTCATTTTGAAATGTTGAGGGTATTTTATTTGTTTTAAATATTCAGGAGTCTATTACATACTTGAATTCCGCTGCAACAGATGCATTTTCTAAAGTGTATCTAACGAAGCTACAAAGTAATCGTAAACAGTGGTTGATTCGTGATCAACGCGTGATCGGTAGCCATGGCGCTCTGTCGGCTTCTTCCTGATTGGCTTGTAGCGACGAGCCTCCAGACAAAGTCGCACGGTTGCCACGCTCGGCGAGTTTTCGCCAGAATGGTTGATCACATTCGCATGGATCACAAATCAATCTGTTGGTGCAATACGTGCAATAACTGTTGTAAAGGACATTATATAACAATAAATGGCATCACAATTTTGCCGACACTTGATGATAACGCAATTATTGTGATGGATAATGCCCCGTACCACTCCAGAAAATTGGAAAAAATTCCAACAATGGCCACCAAAAAGGCAGACATTCAACAGTGGCTTGTCTCAAAGAAGATCTACTTCAACCAAACAATAGTCAAAGCTGAGCTGATAAATATAGTCAAGCGACATAAGTATAAATATGATTTAAAAATTGTTGACGAAATGGCCAAAAACCAAAATAAAACGATTCTCAGGCTGCCTCCCTATCACTGCGAACTGAATCCTATCGAGTTGATTTGGGCCGACATCAAGCAATACGTGGCGTCAAATAACAGCACTTTTAAGTTTTCTGACCTTAAAAAACTGTTTGATGTTGCTGTCGATAGAATTACGCCAGCAAAATGGAGAACATGTATTGACCATGTCCAAGAGAAGGTTGAAACCAAAATGTGGGATATGGACAATATCATTGACACCCAAGTTGAACCCCTTATAATTGACATCAACAATTCTGATGATTCAAGCTCCTCGGAATACAGCATATAAATCGATTGATACCATTAAGACTGGCAGTTTAACGGGCTTTTTGGCAAGACAGGTAAGTTCATTATAGACTGCAATCAAAGTGTAAGTTTCTAGTTATTAATGTGGAAATTCCAAATTTATAATTACACAAAATTAGGGTTAATTTAGGAGTTCCAAAGCATAATAGTGCCATTTTGACCTTCTTCCTATTTCTCATGTAAATTTTAATAGCAATCAAACTAACAAACTTTATGGAGTCTGTAATAAACTTTTGTACTACTACTACTACGTCTGTAGTTTCTATTTGCTCAAAAAAATTTGCTCTGCATTGTGAATAGAAGGTTGATTTGTAAATATTATTGAGTATATATGTAAGTTAATAATAAAATATGAACAATTTCAATTGAGATGGTCCACAAGTTTTTTTCGTGTGCGTTTTAGTAACATTTTGCTGAAATGGTGAATACAGAATTTTTTGCACTGATTCCTAATGTCGAAATATGATTAGAAAGGCGTGGTATATTCCTGATAATTTACTATGCTTTTGATAGAATTTACAGCAACACATATCTTGTACGACATTTTTTGATAGATCAGTCACAATAGCTTGATACGGCCCTGTAGCGTCTCCTACGGTTAAGTTCTTGATCACGTGCAATACGGGTGTATATGTTTGATTTTACTTCGTTTCTTCGATGGATACAGTTTAGGTATTCGATATTACGAACAGTTTGCGATGAAATTTTGTTATTGTGTCGGAATCAATTTCTTTAAAAGTGACAGTTGAATGCTTGATTCTATTTTCAGTAAGGTGTATGAAAATACATGTTTTGTAACGATAATTAGAATCAATGTTTAAAAATTTTCATGAACTATATGATGTCAGATGGTTCTGTATGTGTAAATTAATTGATTTATTTTGGGGTCTTTTTAAAGGATTAAGCATATTCGCACATGCAGTGCTCCAAATTGGTGTAAGATACTGCAAATGCAGATACACCATGCTGAAATATATTAGTCTAAGATATTTTAGTGGGATCTGGTCTCTAATTTTGTACAGGATGTCTAGAATGGATGTTGTTTTTGTTTTTTAGTATGATTATTTCTGCTCAAATTCGGATCAATATTTAGGTCAAGGAGTTGAATACAGCTAACATATTGCATGGGTTCAGTAAAGAGATTCAGGTCTCCATACTGCTTATCTAGATAATTATGAGTCACTATTATATAAAACGGTTTTTTCAAATTTGGAATCAATTTATGAAAATATGGTCAGTCCAATAGTTTAAGTCCATATTTACACTTGGATTAATTTGATCAATATTTTCCGGAAGAGTAGTTATCGTATGCAAATAAACTGGTAACCACTTTCAAATGTAGTGAAAAAACTGTATTGAGATACATTAGGAATAACAATGGCCCCAAAGCCGATCCCTGTGGACTTCCATAAGTGATTTGTCTAGAGGAACTTACATTACCATTAGTGCTTATAAATTGATTCCTATCTTGAAGATCATCTTTAAACCATTTCATTGAAGTTCCTCATATATATATATATATATATATATATAGTATAATTTATCAAGTAGTATGGAATGGTTGACGGTGTCAAAGGCTTTGGTTAAATTATTAGCTCGTTGTCAGGCCAGGTAGCCTAGGAATCTGACAAAAGCGGGACAATGACTAGAAGAAAAATAATTAAGATAAAGTGAGATAAAACTTGGATGGTTTTATCCATTTAGTGAATGATTTAGTTTTTGTGCAGGTTTTGTCAGGATATTTTACTTCTGATCGTTCTAAATCACCGAACCGGCAGGGGTATTACGTGACTTGAACAGTGACATTATGTAGTTTTTTATGACATTATATAAGTTTTACTGCAAGACATCAACTTGGAACTAGCTGTTGTTCACTTCATGCTCACTCGAAACAATCGAGAATAATTTGCACACTAGCATACTGGGTCAACAAGTTGATGTTTTATCGGTTTTTTGACATTTCACGTAATAACCCTGCCGTACCTTATGTTGTCCTCCCATATTTATTAATAAC